TACTGCAGAAAAAGACAAATCAGTCATCCTCATTTCTCAGAAATAAAATCATCTTGTGGCAATATGACTTCATATAAATCTGGCAAATGCTTACGGTATTTACATTCTACATGTGCACCGTATGACTGCACTTGAGCAGAGACATTGAACAGCTTCCATTTCTAAGACTGAACACACTCAAAGCTGCTGCTGCTGCTGACGTCCTGTGAGATTACACTCTGAAATTCTTGCCAATGTCTGCTGGCAGAAAATTTTACTTGCCTGTCTGTTAAAATCTGACAGAAATTCTAAATTAGAGAGACAACTTTGGTGTTTGTTGTAATAAATGTTGAGGTAGCTGTCTTCAAAAATGTATTTTGAGGACTTGGCTGAGCTTTACAGGACAGCTGAACCAAACCAGGGGACTCAAATACAAATAACAAGTTATTTACTTCATGAAATAAATCCTGTCAAGATCTTTTCCTTGATATGTATACTTTTCATGACACTTTGATTCATCCCTTTTTAATTATGTTCAGGCAGTACAAGCAACAGATTACATCATTTAACGTGTCACCACTTACTTACATCTTAGATTTAAAGCACAAAACACACATCTGTCAATATCTGTAATTACAATGCAAAATTTACCTGAAAAGTGCCCATTCATACAGCCTATATATATGTCTCAGCCAACCACTGAGTGATTAACATAGTTCACAGGCTTCAAATAAACAAGTCTAGTGTGGTAGAGCTGAAGTCAGACAGCAGCTTGTTAAGCTGGGGCCGCTGTTTGATTAGCAATTTAATTTGTTCCACAGGGAACAAATTAAAGTGAGCATCATTAGGTGAACAGCATTCATCTCAAATGAAAAAATGCAGTGTAAAAGAATATAGAATAAGCTGGCATTACTGGCAAGAAATCCCATAAAAACACCAAAGCCAAAAAAGTCTTAGTAGTCTTGGTATGTGTCTCAGCACTTTCTGACTTCCCCGTCCTGCATGTGACTCAAGCCCATTGTTCCAGTTGAAGTCATAAATATTTCAGACATATTTTCAAAAAGGCGCAGTAATTTCCTGAAATGGACGGGCGGTCTACTTTTTTAGCAAAAGTTAATCAAACAGGATGAAATACTGCACTTGCTCAGGGCTATTTTCAGCTGCGGATTGATACATGTTTGGTGACTTGGTGGGCCTTTTCAGCAGCAAGACTGTGTATGTGGAATTGACTGGAAGTGAAACTGAAATATCCATGTTCATTCCAACGAAGGAATATGTCAGCCAGTGCAATGGTGTGGCTCACCGGTGTGTTTCTAATAGTTTTGGACAACAGTGGAGCTCTATGGCACAAAGAAATATGCTATATCAGGCTTTGGCTACACAAGCGAAGAACAAATTCTTTGCTTGTTTTGGTTTAAAAAAAAATTAAATATCATCAGTGTTATCCCTTTTGAGTCTCTTAACATGTGGTACAAACGTAATGTCCGTACAAACCGGTGATGAATTAAAGGGAAAACCTGAATTAATTAATACAGAAACATAAGAAATGCAGATACTTCAGATGATACAGTTAAACAGTTGACTTCCTATCATGCTCCATGACATAAAAATGCTGTGTAGGCCCAACTGACCTCCATTTCAGACTAAGATGGTAAAAGGAAAAGATTTGAGTGATTTTATTTCATGATAAAACATTTCTGTCCTGATGGGATTGGTCACTACTAGGATGACAATGCTGCCATCCACAGGACAGGAGGGTTCACTGAATGGTTTGATGAGGACAAAAACAATGTAAATCATATGCTGTGGTCTTTGCAGTCAACAGATTTCAACACCAGTGAAAAGCACTTTTCAGAGTGTTACACCAGTTTGACCATACAAATAATATTCAAATACATAACAGGACTGTGTTTATGAGCATTTCTGATGTAAAAACAAACAAAACAAACACCAGAAAACATTAGAAACTAATGTGTCTAAAAGATGTTCTAGTTCTATTTTGGATTTTACTGATGGGTGGTGCTGTGTTTTAGATTGTGACTTTGTAGCCCATTTAAAGTATTTTTCTATAACATTAAATATTTATAACCAAACAAAGCAACAAACAAAGTTCAAGTTTGGAAAAAAAAAACATCTATAGGTTGTATTTACTACGAGTTTAACACTCAAAAACTGTGTGGGCGTTGTCTGTGGCCCAGTAACACAAACAAATGCAAAACGTAAGCACGTAAATGCACCATTACTTTCCCATCTGTTCAAATGTCATTGTGCAGTGTTCATTTACTTATTTGGTGTTTAAACCCTAAAACTAAATATCCATATCCGTACTAAAAATATAGAAAACACCATCCATTATTTAGCTTCAGAGACATTTCCTGTGATGCAATATTCATCATATTACATTTCAAAACACAGAATGTATGTACTTAACTGTCTCAGTTACGACTGGTTAAAACCATGTTGTTATGAAAATTGCAAAAGAAAACTGGGAATTCTCCATTTCATCACTTGGTATAGAAAATATACCGTATCTATATGGGCTGCTGTACCATGTTCTACAGACATCACATCGCCTGCACAGCACATTTATTGCCACTGGTTAGATATTTATTATCTCTTGTTACATATTTCACTCCACTAGAAACAAATTATTCACAGGCTGTGGACTGAAACTATATGTTTTAAAATCATGTTTTCAGCTTATTGTATGATTGTATTGTATTTAGCTTTGTGCCATGATCACAGTATTGCTATAACAAGCTTCATCCAGTGGATGTCAGTCCTCCTGTTCTTCTCTGTGAGCTCTGGACAGCTCGCAGCACCTCTGTTTGAACTGAGGTTTGTAATATATCCACATGTGAAAGACCAGAATTAAACATCTGTTAAGGCTCAGTTCGTTAAAGACGTATCTGCGGGGGGGGGGGGGGGGGGTGACCACCAGCTCTAAACCATCCATCTGACTCACATCCAAAAAAGGTTTCTACTGAAGTGCTCACTGCTCATCCAAACAGTGCAGGTCAGAGAAAAGAGCTTAGAGAAACAGAAGTAGGTCGAGGTCTTCATCATTTTTATCTAGGCTACGCCTGTTCCCGACGGGTGTTTGGGGATAGCCTGAGGTTAGACCTGAGAAGTGAATCAAAAATGGAATGGGTCGATTAAATAGGGCAGATGTTTCTTTTGCTCTCTGCAAGTCAGGAGGATAGGCCTGAAGTATTTTCTCTAGCAGTGTTCAGCAGTCACATTGGGGAATAGAGTGCAGGGAGAGAAATGCGTGACAAGACAAGGAGCTTGTTCATTATTTGAACTGAACAGAAGGCTATTTTTCATTAGTCACCTACACTAGCCCATATAGTCTTCAAATACATACTTAAATGCTTCTGTCTCTGGCAAATAAGGCATCACTTTGTTTCCTTGTTAGACATTTTACATTTTACAACAGTTTGTGTCTTTGGGAAGAAAAGGGTTGTGCAGTTTCACTGACTATTATTGGCTACCTCAGATCGTACTAACACATTATTATTAGGCACCATGTATCACATTGAGTTTATGTATTTAGTGTACAGAATGTATTTTGTTTCTACTCTTTATATAGCCTTTAATATTTAGCTTTACACCTAAATACCTGTAAAACTCAATACATTTCCATGAGCCTCACGTGTTCAATGTGTTTAGTACTAATCAGCAAATGCTAGCAGGATCTTTTCTAAACTAAGATCTAGTGAACATGGTGAATCAGCATGTTTGTGTAATGACGTAAGTGTTCAGCTCAAACCAAATTTGTTTGGTGAAAAAAAAGTGCTTTTTCAATTTCAAAGTGGATTAAATTACACTTTACAATATCATCAGTACATTTAATCTCCCTCCTCACTTTTGGAGTTAGGGTCAGTGATGAACCAGGACAAACAAAGGCACTGTAGAGGGATGAAAGCCCGGCCGCCATCGAACACACTTCACTGATTGGTGCGCATCAGTCGAAATTGGAAAACCAGACTATGAAGTGTGAGGACACTGGACCCAGCTATTGTACATAAACACACTGGAACCATCTATTGTACATAAACACATTTTTATTCAGCCTGATATAGGTTACACATGGAAAAAAAAAATCAAATTCTAAGAGAACTACTTCCCTTTGTGGAGCTAATGATATGACAGTTTTAAATCAGCTTCAGATCCCCACTTGACAGCTTTCAACATTAGCTGCCGTGGGCTGTGAGGAATTAAGCATAATCACATGCTACGACTGACCTGAGGCTTTTTTTTTTTCTTTTTTTTTTTTCCTTTCTTCAAAAAATAATACAAAAAGAAAACATATCCCCTCAGCACTCATTATATGTTTTCTCACTAAAATGATATGGAATGTTATCTTGGAAATGCAGGTAAGAAGAAAACTGTTCTCTGCAACTCCAGAAAACAAGATAAGAAACGGAATTAAAAAAAAAAAAAAAAAAAAAAAAAAAAAAAAAAAAAAAAAAACTGATTCCCAGAAGTCTGTTCCCAGGCTGCTACTGTGTGTGAGGCATTAAGAAAAACACCACCTCAGTCCAAAGTGTGTTCAACAACAAAAACAACTGAAACCTGCTGCTGTGATTCAGTCTCATTATCCTCAAACGTGGATATGAACAGGAACCACAACCTCGATGCTCAATAGTACAGAAGGTACATTAAATTTACACTGCTTGCAGATCAGCTTTGGAGTCTCATATGTTAGGACTGACAGTCAAAGACACAAAGCAAAGACTGATGAGGGAAAAGAGGGAGAAGGTCTTAACATTTAACTAGTGTTAGTCTTTTTTTTTTTTCCGACTTGTAAATTTCACAAAGTGCAAATTTTCATTTATATTACATCATAACCAATTTTAGAAATTGTTCATTTTCTATTATATAACATTGAAAAATGGTTAATTCCACATACCCCCAACCTAGCCATAACCAACCCCCCCACCCGCCGTGTCCCACCAGCTATTCATCAGAATATTTAAAAAAAAAAAAAAAAAAAAAAAAAAAAAAAGGAATCACTAAATACATGCTGCAATGACGCCCACCAATTTGTTTGAAACTTGACCAAAGCCTCCTTTTTGGCTCCTCGAATCTCTTACAGTACACTGTTACTGTCAGCGTGCGTTTATAGTTAAAATCTATATATTAATCTATCATTAAATAGTATGCCTCTTGCACAGTCTTGCATGCACTGAAGAGCATTTTGGGCAAGCTGTACAAGAAGGAGAGGCGTGTGGACGGACTTGCTCAGGCTGTAGGCTCCGGGCCAGGTCCAGGCACTCTTTCGCCACCTGTAAACGGTTTTTGCCCTTTACTCCTTGCAACCATGTCAGTCCAAAAGATGGTTCTCCAGTGTGTTTTTGTCGAGTGAGCATTTGTCTGTGTGTGTTTGTGAGAGTGTGTGTGTGTGTGTGTGTGTGTGTGTGTGTGTGTGTGTGTGTGTGTGGTCCTAAACTCAGTTTCACAAAAGAACTGTGTAGATCACTGAAGTTTTGTTCCAAGCTTTCGCTGTCTGTTCCTAGAAGAAGAAAAAAAAAAGAAAGAAGGCCTGAGTCATGCTTCAAATGCAACAGTATCAAACATACTAGAGGCCTGGTCACACCTGCATTTAAAAACACATAAATTTCATAACACAATCAATTCATTTCAGTGTAAATTGTAGGAACAAGAGGATTTACCAAAGGGTTGGGAAAGGAAATCCATGCAATTCTTCTGCATTTAGTTCAACTCTGATGGACGTGGACCTGCGTATTTTTGCCGTTTAACAATAGCAAGCTGTCGTGACAACGCTGACCTTTGAGGAACCACAGCTTATTAGCTGTGTTGAACCATCTTCTTTTATCTAACCTCCTCTGTTAGAGTATCAACTAGTCTATTTCAGAGGCATGGCTTGGAGACAATTACAAGAAAGGGGACAATGTCACAAATACTTCCTTTGAACACTCTTTGTGAATATCTCATTAGAAAATGAGCTGACTAGCACTAGTGTGTTCCCAGCTTGCTAGTATGGATCTAGCACAGCCTATGTCACCTGCCAAGGATGTGTAGGTAAACTTCACTGTGCCACATGTGCTTTAATGGTGACAGATGTGGTGTAGTGGGTGATTCTATCTCCATGACAGTTGCTTACCTTGCCTCTGATCTGGTCACTGTATACTCAAACCATAAGATGTTGGGGATCAGGCTTGTGTCTCGTACCAGGAAGTACTCTGATATTGGCCTATGAGATGTAAAAAGAAAATTGACAGAATATTAGAGAAACCACAATGGTCCAGTTTTATCCACATATTCAGCCTGAGGATGACATCGTCTTCCCCTGTGACACAAGAAGACGAGAGAGAAATGAGAATGCTACTTACCACGCTGCTATTTTGGGGAATAATGGTGTCAGCACCTCTTGTGTGATAAAGAACCAGAGTATGCCAATCGAACTACCAGCCACTCCACCACAGAAAACCTGGCTCCAGGTGTGATACAACAGGTAGACTCTGAGAATGAGAGAGAGAAAAAGACAATGTTCAAGAAAATACAAATAGCACTTGGTGAGGCTACTCTAAATTAAGTCCAGCAACATGCACCTAAAATAGTAACAAACTTGATGTGCTCACACAGCAAAAACTATGTTGTTACAAAGGAAATAGTACAATGTGGTTTTCCTGTGAGCAGGCTGGTCAGCCAAACAATATTAAAAAATTGTCTTGTCCACATGCCCAGTGGTTACAATGGTAACAGTAAACTATGTAAACTATCAATATTACCGCATATCAATCAACATTTCTGTAAATGTGCCGGTGCTAGCCAGCTGGCTACTTTTAAACTGCAGCCCGTTGGTGAGATGTTCTGAAACCAATGATGTGATGGTTAAAAATTACTGACAGAGGAAAACATTATGCTATAAAGACAGCAGCAAGAAAATAACCATTCCCAAGATAGTGCACAGTGGACAGTCAAGTTCCCCTCTGAAGTTCTCCATGGTATCTCTTTTAAAAACAGATGACAAAAAATGCACTTGCAAGGAAATTTGTCATACACAACAAAATTCATGAGGTGAGACATATTCTAATATGACCACACTGTATATAGCCAGGCTCTTACCCTACCCTACTGCCTTATTTTAAAATGTCTGGATGTTAACAGTCTGCTCTTCTGTATTCACCTAAGACTATAGGATTCATCTGAAAGATTTGAAGGAGGTGGGAAGGGGAGGGGGGAAGGGTCAGTCCCTTACCTGCTGTATGAGACTGATAAGGCCATGCCCAACAGGATGATGGACAGTATGTGTCTCCACAGCAGGTCCACACATCGAGCATTGTTCGTTTGATGCATTCTGAAAAGAGATGAAAAAGAGCTCACATCAAGGCATCTACTTCATGCACTTCATCTAAAAAGTGATTATCAAAAAGATTAATGTAATGCATATAGTAATGAAATACATGCCCTGTAATAAACCCACTAAATAACAGATATAAATACAAATACTATGCTTGTTTAACATGAATATAATGTAATCATCACTGACACAACCCATGTATGCATGAAAATTATTCAACACAGCTGGGAGTTGTATAGTCTTTGTCATTTCATATAAAAACATGTCAAGTAAAATTAAATAGCTGCTTAAAATCTCCAACTTGAAATCAACAAAAAACATATTTGATCAATTTGTGGACATTCAATTTTAGACGGACACTGTTTTTCTAAGAATTTCACAGCTGCGCGTTTCTACGGTTAAAATTCCCCCCACAGCAAGAAGAAACAAGCTCACCTTAAATAAAGGAAAAGAAAGAAGTAAACAACAAAGAACCAGATAAGCTGGGAATGACTGGAGGGCATCCCATACTCTGTGTGCAGGGTTGTGTGAGCCCCTGCAGAAAGAAAACAGAACCTGATTTAAATATTTAAGTACAATAAGGAGTTCATCTCATTTGTTAGTATTAATTCAAGTATTTTGGTCAGGATTATCAACCAAACCTAAGTTTATAACTAAAGTGAGAGTAGTGGCATTCATATCTGTCATTCTTATGGCAATTAGGATTTGCATATGGTTTTTACATCAATGTGACGAAGTACCTTGATTTGTCAGGTATTCAACTTAGATAACAAAATATATTCTAGAGCTGAAACTTTTAGTCAAGCACAAGAAAAATAAACAGTCGCTATTTTAATATTCAATCATTTGTCCTTTTTCAAGCAAAAAAGCTTCTCAACTGTAAAGATTTACCACTTTCCCCTGTTTTATATAATTGTAATAGGGTTACAATTATATAATATTATACAATATTATATAATTGTATATAATATAGACATATTATACAATGTATAGGGTTGTAAATGGATTTTCGAGTGTTGATCTAAAAAAATAAGACATTATAAAACATCAAGGTAGACTGTGGGGAATTATAATGGCCATTTTTGACTACATTCTTTTACAGACATAACAACGAATTGACCAATCACAAAAATAACTGGAAGATTAATCAAACAGTATTAAACATTAGTTAAAGCGCTATTATTTGTGGCACAACTTTCACTTGAGAGTGTGTAGTACATAGGAATAACAGGCTCTGATCATATAACAATCAAGTGTGATAGACATCAAAATGGCCTTTTGTGATACTTTTGCATCCAACTCTGCTAATTTCACATAAAGACAACAGCTTGCTCCATCACTCACCTGCACATGGGCGCGGCTCTCTGAGAATGTGCTTCAGCACCCAGTTCACCCCTTCATTCAGGATGAGCCCACCGAAGAAGGAAATCTGTAAAAAAAAAAAATAAATAAAAATAATAATAATCAAAAAACAAAACAAAAAAAGCAGGTTTACATATGAGCAAACTTGTGGCCTTCCTAACAGCACTGCTCATGCTTTTGTGAGACAGCCAAACAGCTTCACAGAATGTCTTTAAATGTGATGATGCTCTTTCCTGAAAACACAACTGTAAGTGCATGTGCAGGACTCACCGTGTGCAGCTCCCGTTTAAACACTATAAGTGTAACAAAACCCACAAGGATCGCTATCGGCAGGAGACTGATGTAGGCCAGCACTTGTCCCGTCAGATCATCTAAAAACACAGTGACACAGTACTGATGTTAAGACATATTTTTAAAAACCCCAGTAAAGTCACCTAGTGGGAGTGACACTTTTAGATAGTCAGTGAACCCGGATGACTGAAATATTTAACTGTGAGCACTGGTAAAAAGCTGTTGTGGTGGAGTAAGTATGCCATCATCTAATTAACAGGGGACAATATTTAATTTGGTTAATTAGGACAGCTAAGTGCAACGAGGGTTATGCTAGTTACACTAATCAGTACCAGGCCAAAGAGCTAGTTGCTGCGTTAGCATTAGTCCTGGCTACAATGCTGTAAGGTGAAATAGCTAGCTACTTCCGCTACTGTTATAAATAATATTTTGAAGTTCTTAACGCCTGAATTGTTTCGAATAATTCTTATAAGACACGGTATATTCGATAAATCCTGAGAAATTATAGCAAAGTCGATATTAAGACAGCTAGCAAGCTAGCTAGCCTTCATTGTGGACATTATCGCCAACTGCGCATGCGGCGTTGTCTCACAATTTTGCAGTACGGTCTGCGTTCCCGCTGTGTTCGGGGTTTTACAGCGTCTCACAATTTGGCAGAGTCACCGACGGCCGTGTCCATTCAGTAGCAAGAAAACACACGCATTGCTCGAAGATTTCATAGCGGCTAGTGGCTTACCGAGCTTCAGTAGTTAGAGGAAGATGTTGAGCTTACGTACCCTCGGGGAACTCTACGTGTGTCAGAGATATGGACCGCCATCGAGGTGGTGCCGAGCACTGCTCTTCCAACGCCATCTTACCCGGACACAACCGGGCAGTCCCAGTGAAACGCCCCAGACACGTGTCCAACCAATGGTGAACGGAGCTCCGTGTTCAAACGGGCCCCGGCAGCAGAGGAGTCGTCCAATCCCGGCCGCACACTGGAGATGAGATATTCTGCCCATAGAGAAGAATTATTGAATGAACAAAAAACACAAAAGTCCAGCACTCCATATTAAAGCAGCGAACTGTACTCATTCAAAAAAAAAAAAACCCCATAAAATAAATAAAGTAAGGGATTTTAATGGTTAATGAAGACTACAAATAATTTTCCACCTGGGACATAATATCCTGATCAGGTTTTTGCAGTTATTTACTGTATGTAGAAATCTACACGTGGATTCCTGTTGATATTAATTGTTTTGTGTTTTGTGATTATTTCATTTCATCAACATCAGGCCTGTTATTACTTATGTATTGCTAATCTGTTGTTTGTTTCTGAGGATCACCTTGAAAACAAAATGATGCATTTCAAGGGATATATCCTCATATTAAAATTTGAAAGGAATAAATAAATTTCAGATATTTAATATGTGACAAAAAACAGCAGACTGCTGACAGTTGTTTCTATTATTTAATCATCCTTTTTATATCAGTGAGGTCCCCCATCTTATAAGATTTTTTGCTTTTTGATGTTTCATTACAGAAAGTGTTTGAAACCCATGACCAAAGTAGTCATACATTCTGTCATTGTGTTACTTATGGATGGAATTATAGCGAAAATAAATGATTCCCCTTTTTGCTGAGGATCTCCTTTCATGGACACGTGGGGGTCCCCAGACCCCACCTGGAGACATATGGAGCTAACAAAAACACCCCTCTGTATAATGAATTGCAGTTAAATATCACCACACCTCTAATATCTCTATATGTCTATAACTGCACATGACCTTCATGAAAATATGTTGCAGGACTGTTGTATTAGACTATATTAGTTTTTGCTAGGCATATCTAATAAACTGCCAATGAGTGTAGTTCATATGCATACCAAATAACAGTAGACACACCAAACACTGCATATAATAGGTATCTTTTCATGCAGGGAAACACCATCTAAAACAAATAACTGTAAACAATTCAAAACAAGCAAATCCCCCTGAAGGAGCAGAGCATCATGACTGCCCTTTGAGTTGGTCTACTGATACTGAATTCATGTTTGATAAAGGCTACAATGAAAATCCCAATGGGCTCACTCAACTTAAAAGTGTATTGGAAACTGGCAGCTTCAGATAGAGTCACCCTGAGCCACACTGTTGACCCTCATAATGCATTTTGCCTCCACCTGTGTCTTTACACCTTCTTTTATGTTTATTGGTGGTCGGTGTGTCGCCTAGTGGTAGCAACTTCCAGTCAAAGTGTGTTGCCTTCCGGATACATCCCGAAAGGTGTAGTAGATTTTCAAACCCACGCTGTCATCCATCTTGAAAATCCACAACACCTTTCAGGGATCTGCAGGTGGAGATGAAGGCAACAGAACCACCTGCCCTCTGATTGGACTCTGCTTTGTGATTGGATTGTCATTGTTCAACCAGATTCAGGTGTAAATATATGGTCAAAATTTGTACCAACCTTTCCCATAGATGCCGGATAGAACCAGATGACAGGACTGGTCTTTCATTAAATGACACATTTACACAACATGAGTAGGCTACTCACATTCTCATGGACACACAGAGAGCGTAAAGCAGCAAACATGAAGCAAGAGTTGAGAAAAACAGCAGCTGCAAGTAAAACAAAAATCCATGAACCTCAGCTGCGAGTGAAAGAAGGTTTAAAGTTCAGAAGCTGCCGAATCCTCAAATGAGGCTAGACAACACGCCAGACAACACAACTGTGTTTTAGTACCAGTGGATGTATATTCCATTAAAATATCAATTCATGTCATGAGTGACACATGAAAATGTAGAATGCAGGAATTGCATTACTTTTTAATTGACCCCCTCACATTAACCGATACAGCAGAAAAACATACTCTGATCTGGAAGTATACACCTGCTTGGAAATGTCATTCTAGAAAAGTCAATGGCTTGCTTTCATCAGTCAGGCTACTGAAGTTATATAGCTAAAATTACTTTGAGCCACTGGGGGAAATGATTTACAGTAGCTGTGTAGTGTATCTCCTAACAGGTCTCATCCAGATTTTGAATTGGATATAAAGCTTAAGATCTGAAAGACTAATTTTGGTGTAAGAAATTACAAAAACATTTTATGGTGACCGCACATTTTAAGCTTCTCCCTTTGGTTTCTAACTTTAGTGGAGAGTTCAAATATTGACCAATAAACTCAAATAACACTCTCCCTATTCACCCTTATTAATTTTTTAAAGATTATTATTTTTGGCATTTTGCTTTCATTTGTCAGAGCAAGATAGAGTCCCCAGGCCAGGAGGTGAACTGGGGACATTTTCTAACAACAGGGAAAATTATGATTTGTGCCTTTACAGCTGAGCCCAACTATTTAAGAATCATATTTGTCAATGTTGAGAACACTTAAGAGTACAGTTGTTTTAGTCATAAGGGCAAAGCGAACTGGGATCTTCATATCATCTGATTCTCTAGAATACACTGCAGTGGTTTGCCACCTTGTGGACAATCTCACATTACTGCCATCTAAGTGTTTCATCTATTTTTTCTCACATATTTATACTGCTTTTACAGTATTTATACTGTTTTTACAGTATAAATATAAATAAATAATTTGCCAGTGCGCAGAACACACAAGTTTCAAGTATCATTAATTAATGCTTTTTAGTCATTCTGAAAAACATACCTCTTTATAGCAACAACAAAAACATTTAGTATTAGAAAAGTTTGATTTCTGGTGGAACCAAGTGACAAACTGCCGTGATGTCACCCGTTGGTTTGTGAACTGCTGTTTTGAAGCCTCGAGTTTGGATTAAAGGATGTCACCATTTTGGTTTTTCAGAGCCAGAAGAAACCATATTTGATTGAGAGAGTGGAGCTGGGGAGGAGGGAGGGGTGCTAAGTAAACCTGACAGCGACAGGCTCCTGGCTGAGCCGTGCAAAGATGCACAGATGAACTGTGATATTAACAGGGATGCTAATTTTGGCTATCAAAGAAATAGGCTTAAAAAAAAATGTACCTACCTAAAAAAATTGAACTGCTGATTCCTCCGAGTGTCTTTTAGAACAACTGAACACTGAACAAGACATTTTTAGGCAAACATGTTGGAGCTAACTTTGATGAACTGAAAACACAACGACAAGTCAAATGTCCGACACATCGCTCTGACCTCATATCCAGATTAATAGGCAGGTTCACCTGTATGTCAATCACACAGTAACCACGCCCTAAAACCACTCTGCTTTAACGTCTATTTTCTTTTAAATAGGACTATAATATGAAAAATTAACATCATGTAGTATTCAAGAAAACTTCAAACAAGCGATTCAGACCATAAACATTTAACGAAAACGTTTGCCGAGGTAATAAATCAAGTGACAAGTAGGGTCATTTTCTCATTTTCCCATAGACTTCATTACATTCAGACTTCTTTTTGCAACCAGTGAAGTCGCCCCCTGATGGTCATTCGATAGAATGCAATTTTAAGGCACTTCCACATTGGCTTCATTTTCCAGACCCGGAGTCGACATCCATTTTTCTATACAGTCTATGGGTGGAACAAGAAATACAACGAACCATCATCTGTTGGGAAATAGCATAATAAACATATTGTTTAATAACAAAAAATAACATTTAATATGGAGAATCAAAATTGATTTACAGTTTGTGCTGGCATTGTAATTTAACAATAGAAAAGACAAAAGGCATGAATAGGACACTTGTAATGTACAGCAGTGACTTTCAAACAAACAAACAAAAAAAAATGACATTCCATATTTTGGCCATCTGAAATCCTTGAAAAACTCTATAATCCATTGAATGTATGCTAAGAAGGAGAGTCCATGCCTGCATTTTGACTTTCAAATGATTATAAGTTCCTAAACACTTTCTTCAGCTTATTTCTAAATGGGATTTTTAAACCTAACAATAACAATAACTAGGGCTGAGCCTGGTTCTAAATGTTGCAGGAATACATTGATCGATGCATTTACACTGTTAACATGCAAAGGCTGCTGGAGGAATAAATCTCTGATCATCTACTCTCGTTGCACGGAAAAAAGCAGACCAATCTTTTAAAGATCACAAGACTACATATCTTAATAACATGAGCATTTTTCCATAATTGCATTTTTACCTGCATGATACATACTGCTGATACTCTACAATAACAGGACTAAAACAAGTGAGGAAATGGTTTTTAAAGCAGTTCATCAGGGATTGGACCACACGCAGTCAAAAGTTAAAATTGGAGAACATTCAGCATGGAGACTAAAACAAAAACATGACAATAACCTGAATAAACACTTTCTATAATATAGTTTTCTGGGAAATATAGTTTCTTTACTATACAGCATGTATGTTCTATGTTATCAATAGTATGTCTGTTCTATGATGTAATAATTCAATAGTTTATATAAGAGTTGTGGGACATTCCTGTATCTTTCTGTTTTTCTAATAAAGTGCAAAATGCTTAAAAACACAAAGCTGCACATCTGCCAGAACAAGGAACTAAATTATTTTCTGTAAAGACTATTTACAGTTGGATGTTCTGGTCCATGTTTGACAGAAACAGAAATAACCCAACAATGCAGACTCTTGACACAGGTACTGCATTGCAGCATGTAAGAGCTCTGACTGTCAGAGGCGTGTTGCAACAAGAGCAGGATTCACATCAAGACCATTTTACATTTAAATGATTATGAATGACAAAAGAGCTGAATTCTCTTAATTTGTATGATAAACTATTCCCTAAGAACTATGAAACACAGAATGATCAGACAAGAAATTTTGTAGGCAACCACAAACATACACACTGTGCTTCTACTGCCATTTATAATTAATCTTTTTTTATCATATTTCATTATGATAATTTAGTTTTTGACAGTTTCCTAAACAAAAATAAGCTACAGTTTGCATAACACAAATCTACCTTTACAGTAGTGGAGTTATCCATGTTAGGATCGCAGAGTAAAACTCTTATTAACTTGGCATCTTAGTGCCCCTTCAGTGTCTCTCTGCTCCAACAAGCTCACAGTATTGGGAAAACAAAGAGAACTCAGGGGTTATCTTCAGTGCACTTGTGTAAGTTTCAGTCTGACTGTACAATGCCGCTTCTTCATTACCGGTAGTCATGGAATCAGAAACAAAAACAACATCTTTGCTATGATTAATACTGTAGATGGCACTGTTTTACTCAGTTGTGTCAATTTTAAAATGGGCAGGGAGGAAAGCAAGTGACACATCGCAGTGTAAAGTGATGAAAGTGATGAAATGTGTTTCTGATCAATTATCACACTGAGGCTGACTTTTTTTTTAACTTTTTTTTTTTTTTTTTTTTACAAAGTCTCTGAGGGTGTTAGATTGTATTCACTGTCTGCACTTTGTTACAGCCGTGAGCATTGGCCTTTTGACACAGGAGGAAAAGCACAGGTGTAAATAATAAAATCAATGATAGCCGAGTTCAATTTAGCTGCTTCAGTTTCAGGGTCCTGGCGTTGTGCGTGCGGACTCGCTGTCACACTGTCATGCAACTGTGGAAGAATTACTCCTTTACTGAAATAAAAGTAGCAATACCACAATTTAAATGCAACATACAAAAACTAAAGTAAAATGTAAGTAAAAGTAGTGATTATGCAGGAAAAGGGCTCCTTTAATGGTTTTGTATTACACATACCCTTTATTATATTATATTATTATTACTGATCAGCAGTACTGATATTTTCTTAAAACAAGTAAAAAGGGAGTCTGTAACCAGGCAGAGTGAGGCAGGTTGCTGCACAAAACATTAAAAATGAACCTGTTTTAAAAAAAATCCTTGAAACTACATTGAAAATATGTTGGAATATTCTTAGAGCACTGTTCGATTTCTTTCAAGGAAATAAGACTTAAAGGACTAAAATGATTTCATTAGAAGGACATTTTGTGCACTGAACAGTGAATTATATTTCAGAGGCAGATCACAAGTTTCGGATTAAAATTTTCATACTGCGAAGTCACTATTTAATAACTATAGCTGCCAAACAAATGTAGTGGAGTAAAAAAGTAGAAGTATGAAGTAGAATGAAAGGGAAAAAACTCAAATACAATACAATTACCTCAAAGTTGTATTGAAGTACAATACTTGAGGAAATATATTAAGTAACCTTCGATAATGTTATTAGTTAACACTTGTGCTTTTCCTTCTATGACAAATGTCTGTTGTGAAAAATAAGACCTATTGAGAAACGAGCAGATTTTCTTTCTAATCCACTTATTTTATACTCATTTACAGCAAGTAACCCCCAAGAGTTGAATAACAATCACACTCACTGAGTACTTCTGTTCCAAACAACATTGACAACACAGATTTCATGTCCATGTAACTTACGTTTAGATACTTTTGCCTTAAACAATTTCACTATCTTAATTATTTTGTATTCGTTTGAATCAAACTAAAATAATTGTACAAATTTGGCCCAAATATCTGGAGGCAATTCAAGTGGCTCAACCAATTAATAAACTGATTAACAGTAAGAATTTGAAAAACATAATGCATCACCTAATATTGATTTCACGTTACTCCCTGAGAGCAGACATTGTTCAAGATATCTGATTTCTGTTACACCCTCTAAACTGGCAATAATCCTATGAAAACAGACATTTTCATACTTTGTGTTATTTGCAGTTCTTTGCACCTCGGTGCCATTTAAAAATGGACTATATTCATGTTATTTATCGCGAGGTAAAATCTGAGTGATCACTGTGGCCCAGAGAAAGTAAAACTCGACCATATGCACCTTAGCTGGATCACTGCTATGTCCACTCTGGCTGAGAAGACTGTATGAGACGGACGGTTTGGGGTCGGGATATAGCTCAGGCATAATCTTATTTCTATATAATTAACATGTTAGCACCCTACACTAATTTTACATGATGTCTTTTTGCATTTAATACAGTCTCTTTGATATGTCACGTTAGCCTGCTTGATTAGACCAAACTGGAATAAATACTTCTTCAAATTAAAGAGGATTTACATTTCATCAGTGAGGAGACAAATTCATTACGTCTTTTGTCACGCAGCATAAATCTTCAGCTGGCCAAGGTTGTCAGGAATTATCATGGATTTAACAAATATCCTTGCCCCTTTAATATAAAACAAAAAATATCAACAGACTCACGCCATTTCTTTTCACATAATAATGAAGACTATGATATCCCCATCTGACTTCACCACTCAGATGAATGGAAGGTTACAATACAACCACTTGTCCTCTGAAGACACTCGCTCCATGTGGAGTAGTAGTGTAGAAGGCCCAGTCTTCGTGTGTTCGGAGCGCTTCTGTCAGGTGTGTTTTTAAGAAGTATCCTTATCACCCAACAAGGCAGAGACGGGTCCTCACACGTCTGAGATTACACGACTACAGTAGGCATCGTCGATACACAACACAGCAGCGGATAACAAGGGAGAGGTAGAATCACATGATCCAGCCAGTCTCCCCCATTAGTACCAGTGATACTTTAGATCTAGTGAAAATATATCCTCTTACAGTAGTTGTGTTTGATGAACACAGATGAATGAATGATTAATTCTGGTTCACAGTATATCACGGGAGCACGATGCAATGCAGTCTTAATGCAGGTACAGAGTTAGTGTCGAGCTGTGACTCCTTGCCGTTCCTTACTGGTTAGCCCATTGCATTTGGCCTGCACAAGCCCCCATGAAGTCTTTAGTGATGCTAGTCATCTTAGTTGGGCCCTGAGGAGCCCTCCGTGTCTCTGGGCAGGGCACCGTTGAGCTCCAGAAGGCTATCAATTCCCAGATACCCCAGTAAAATCTCGCTCCGGCGGTGGGATAGGTTCAGGATGTCCTCAGCCAAGCACTGAGCAGAGGTGAAGCGGACCTTGTCGTGATCAAACATATCCTTAAGGTACTGCACAATTTGTTGCTGCAGAGGAGAGGAGAGAAATGAATGACAGAAACTGATATACAGTATAACACAGTGAGTTTAACTTAGACTTTAAAGGTGTAGTCCACTGATTTTACACATGAAGGTTAGCTTGCTCTTTATGTTTAGTCCTACTCAGCCTGTGCAAACAGTTGTACAAGGTCTTAGTCACTTTTGAAAAAACTAACCCTAGTAATGTCATCAGGCTTATTTCATCTTGGCTTGGAGACTACAAATTTATAACAGAAAGCCTGGGTTACAAACTAGCAGTATGGAGTCTAACACAGAGGAAGCCTGATGCCACATTCATGTCATGTCCGAGTTATCAGAATTATAAGCAACTGAAATTTCTTTGTTCAAGATGATTAAACCTAAATGTACGTTATATTGCCAGTGCACAGTATTTTTAACCCTCACTCAACTCTGTAATTGTACAACCGTTTTGAGCTGTCCTGTGACGTGAAAGCTGTAAACATGGGAATCTGTCTCATCTCTACCAACCATCCCATATGATGTGAATGCAGCATAGCAAAAGATGCTATTGAGTTGCATTATGGGAAGTGGAGGATCCAGCACTGCTGAAGCTTGACCTCTACTTGGGATGTTCAGAGCAATCACCGATAGCTTATGCCTTTTCCATATGGCTTGTTTTACCATTAATGTATTAACTTATTTTTATTATTCTTAATATTTCTAGTTTTAAATCAATATTAAATTGAATTTGCCCTGCCATAGTTTCACATCTGCAACCCCTGCATATAACTGATGCTTGCAACACCAATGACACACTCCGACTGACTGACTGCCATTGCTGTTTGTGTGTAAGTGCCGGGCTGTGACGAAACAGAGCGGAGGAGGTCGATAGACAGAACACGTCAGGGACAGTCAACAAAAAGGAGAGAGAGAGAGGGAGCGAGAGAACTGCAAGCCCTAAACAGCTGTTTCTACAGGCCTTCCACTGTTGCTCTGCTCTGATCATTAAATGTAAATAATGAATGCTTTGTTTGTGATGACAACACACAACATGCTCTCACCTTGAAGATGGTGCAAACTTCACTTAGGTGCTGCCTGGGTCCCAAAAACCCAAACGCTAAAACTGGGCTCACATGTTCTGATATGGCGTAGAAGTGGGAGATAAAACCATCAGGAACCTATGGACAGTAAAGAAACAGCTGTCAAAACCAAAGATATTGTACTTTGAAAAACTAAATGCAATCAGTTTTAAAACTATTTAAAACTGGCTCAAACTCACCATGAGCAGACGCCTCTTTGCTTTTAGGACAGACCAGCAAGCAGTCGCCAGAGCCTAACAGAAAAACACAGCTGTGTTATTGGGATAAGTTATAACTCACTCATCAGTGGTATAATTATGGAGTTGGTGTGCGTGATCATGTGTGAGTGAAAATTAACCGTCTCTTTGAAGCTGTCAGAGAGCCAGCGATTCCTCAACACAGCCACCACAGAGGAGGGAGGGCTCTCCAGGTCCTCAAATGCATCCATCAGGATGAAGTCCAACACTACGTCGAAAAAGTTCATACACACCACCTGCAGAGGTCATGACGAGTGAGCCCCAACAGTGCATTGTGTTAAATATGCCAGTGATCACATTTTCTCAAAGAAGATTACATTCACATTCTTACTATATTTAGAGATCTGATGCATACAGAGTGAATGAATCATTTATATAAAGATGGACTGTTGTAACCTGACCGTGGGGCGCGCTTCAGTTAAAGTTTAATTCAGGGTAGTCACAGGGTTTCTCAGGTTCATGTAAACTGCCTGAGTATCCATGAATAAATCAATAAACACAGACGTTCAGAGCAATACTGTCAGCATGAAAAGTGAAATATCATTTAGTCAGTCGTCTTAAAGACTGACCATGTTATATCGCCTGATATATGCGACCCTGTGTGTTTGTTAAGGGGAGCATGCTGAAAAACAAAATGAAGAGGAGATTCAGTAACATGACGTGAATGACAGCATTACTCACCCCTCGGCCCTCCAGCTCCATCTTAGTGATGGGCCACGTTTCCTCTCTCTGAGTGTAAAGCAGCATGTCCTCGTAGCTCTCTAGGAAGGCTTTGGGACTCTGAGTTAAAGCAAAAAAACAACAACAACAACAAAAAACACACAGGAACTAATTATTTAAAGCTGTGCAAATATGTCCACAGAAGCAGAACGTTGTCCTGTTTATCCAAATGACACAAGTTAACAACAGTGGATCCAAATGAGTATTTTTCTTACCTTGTTTGCCTTTACCATTAACCCTGTAATCATTTGCTTCCCGGTCTCCATGAAAAATGTGCGATGAGTTTCATCTAGCAACAGGACCTGAAAGGAAAAAACCTCATCACTCTCTTTTCTAAAGTGATTTCTGTAATAATATGGTCAAGTTATATGATAGGCACCTGATTTTGTCACAGTGCAGAATAATTTTCAAGCATAGGCAACAAAGTGTCATGTTGTATGGAAAGCAAAGCAGAGTACAATTACTCTCATGTACCAAAAAGAGTCACACAAGCAGATAAACACAACAGATGTGAATGTTCCCTTCAGCTCCAGCTGTGCAAAAGTTGTGCAGAGAAATCCCTGTAGTATCATACATTTTTAAGTGTAAGGAACACCATGAGTCACCTCTCCTGACTGCAGCTGCTGTCTTCATCCTCACTAACCCAGTAGCTTTTGTCTGGATGTCAAAAGCAAAGCCTAAGCAAAGAAACCTGACTCGCTGCCTGTCGCTCTTATGGCTGCACCTGCATCGAGGCAGCGTATTTCTGTCTCAGGTTTGTGTGCTGTGTGTTTCTACTAGTGTCTCGATACACACACTGTATGAGGGCAGAGATGATGATTCCAGCAAAAAGAAAGAAAAGACAAAGAGATCCATCTTGATCCATGACCTGGTTCCACCTGAAGAACAATGCCTTCCTGAAAATCACCATGACAGATTTACCTAAAATAAACCTCTTTTTTTTTTTCTTTTTTTTTTTACTTGCATCATATCTATTGTTTTAACTTGCTCTCACTGCACTGCAATATTTAGCAACTGCACTATGTGATTCATTGCTAACCATTTAGAAGATTGCCAATCATATTCAATTATTACAATTTATTTTAACCAAGACAACCTTCCTGCCAGAGGACATCAGCCAAAAGAGCATGAAAATCTCTGAGCTGTATGAGCTTAATTTTGTTTTGTTTTTTTTAGTTCTGTTCAGCTTAATTTACTTTCAGCTTCACAGCTCTCAAGTGTTTTTACAACCCAGCTCATGTGATTTTCATTAAACACCATCTGTCATCTTCTGACCACTAGTAGTGCTGTAGAGCAATGTTTGATGAACTAGTCCTTCTATTGTCTGCACAAAGATGTGCAGGTGATAACAGCTGGTTGTGTTGTAATGCACCATAAAAGTGGAGGAGAAGAAATTCCCAAGACAGTGTAAACAATGGAAGTTTTGAAACATAAAACAATGGGTTCAAAATCATAATATAAAACAGGGCAGGGGGTTATTATGCAAACAAAGAAAATTATCTATGATTTAAGTCTTATGAGCTGAAACAAACCTGGAATGCTTGTCTCACACAGTGAAGTTTGGCAAGGAAGTCTTGATCACCATAACATTCAAGTAATTCAGTCCTGGTAAAAAGAGACAGACATGAAAGTCAAAGTTGATATGGCGAACAGCTGCTTATTTACACATACAGCAGACACACAGCAACATAAGCATTTATTCACTCTACTTTTAGCTGCTAAATGCTCCACTATGTTTGCCAGCGAGTCACAAACCTTGTCTATCGTTTGGTGCACAGTAGGTTTATCAGAACTTTTTTTGTTCAATAGCTGCCTGCTACGTCTGGAAATGATGCTGATGAGAGCAGTGAGGGTGAACCAAAACCAAAATAATGAGGTAAAAGATGGCTGACACAGTCCATAGAAAAGAGATAACTGATAATTCTATGTGCATGTGTCACTAAGAGCGACTCCTTTATGCATAGTCATCACAGGTGAAGACGCTGAATTTCACAGTTACCTCAGGGACCTATAGGCCACTTTGGCTTCCCGGACCTGAGACAAGGCTTCTTCATAAAGAGCTGCTGGCCTAAGTGGCTGGTAGACTTCTTCTAGAGCCATGGCATCAAACAGCTGCACAGACAAAACACAAAGACCTCATTACACAATCTACGTATGTTATTTGCAGAAAAAGCAGCAGACATGATTGGATCTGCAAGACTCAAGAGTGTAATTGAATGTGTACTTGATATAAACACTAGAGGGGGCTAAGGGAAGTCTGTGACTGCCCTAATGTAATCTGGTTTTCCATCAGTCCTTAGAGAACAGAGGAGAGGAACTCACCTCTGCAGCCGAGAAGAAGGAGTCGTCAGAGGTAACAGTAGTCACATCATCGTCTTGCAGTCTGTGGAAACTCTCAACTTGAGGCAAGATAAGAGTTCCTTCACTCTCTAACAAAGGGACAACACAAACTGTGATATAAGAGATATGAAATGTATGCTCTCATGCTCTTCTCTTTGATTAATAAGATTTCTACCTTCTGTTAAAAAAGGTCACATAGAAGCTCAACAGAAGTCTCACCAAAGTCTGCCAGCACGCTGTCTGTTGGGATACTGCTGCCAAAATCCTCTTGTAGGTGGTATGCCCTGTGCAGCAGTGTCTCTAACTTCTCAGCAAACACTTTATTACGAGTTTCAACCTATAATCAGGGAGAAAAGCATTTAACAAGCCCAAAGTTACTTATTATTATACTTATTATGTAATAAAACTCTTAAATCAAGGATTAACTTAATCTCTTTCAATTATACTGCATTGGCACTGTATTGCCTACGACCAAACCAACAACATCTCACTTACAGTAGGTGAAATTCCACCACCATACTGAACTTGAACTGGAAAGTAAACCAGCCATAAACAGGGCTGGTAATTACTGTTTTATGGTTACCATGGGAAAGTCTCCACACGTTGCCCCCTGCAGAGCGAGGCTGTTGTTGCTGGAGGTCGAGCGGGAGTGATGGCGAATATTCAAGGCCTGTTCCCACTTTCGCAGAGCTTCCTCAAACAGTTCCATCCCTAGCAGGAAAAAGAGCATCGAGACTTAACCAGACTGTCTACTTACGCACAGAACTGCAGCCACTGGTGTTCTTTCTTACTGGCTTTAGTGCTGGAGCAGATATTACATTATCAAAAATACTGCTGCTTAATGCTGTTTAAGTGAAAAGTCCAGAGAATGACAGAATTCAAATAGTTAATGCAGGATGATCCTAATGTCCAACAACAGCACCCTGGGTCAACGAGCCCAGCATTCACCTGATTACAGCAGATATTTCTTCATTTGTTGTACACTACAACAGTCACTACAGCATCAAATCGGCTGCCTTTACCTAACGTGGGAAATACTGAATTATTATTATGGGTAACTTGTACCTTAATGTGACCAAGTAACTTTTACATGATATAAGTCTTCAAAATCAACAGCAATGTGAATACTCTCCCTTTTACTCACTTTATTGACACCAAAACAGAGAGTTTTGTTTCATGACCCATGTTATTTCTGATTAAAAACTATTCAAGGCAAAGAAAAAGTAGAGCTCATCTTGTTGTTTCACACAATTCACAATTCATTTCACACACAGCTTATATGTCTTTTTTTTTTTTTTTATAAAATCCTGAATAGTAGTAAATACATACCCATTAAATACAGATTCTCTGCATTAGCATCCTCTACTGCCCCTGACTCCTCCACCACAGGCTCTGCTTCCCAGGGGGTGGATGGATTGGCAGACTGATTTGGGGAGTTTGGTACCCGCATCTGTGCCAAAGACACAAAATAAATATAAAATATGAAAAATGAGATGAAGAGGAATGAGAGAAAAGGCACATAAACAAGACAAAAACTGAAAAGCTACGAGTATGAAACTAACTGATGCCAGGCTGTGTGAGGAACTTGAGTGTTTACTGGGAGCCAGTGAAGAAATTCCACTCATGGTGTCATTGCTCCTGGTGCTCGGACTCATCATCTGTCGTCCAGTAAATGGCCCTGTAAAGAAAAAAAATAAAAGCTTTCTCTTTTCTGGATATATCTAAGTAGATGCTGAGACATGCTATAACCCACAAAGCAATGTCAGCACTTCAAAATTTACAACATAAAGACATTCACACCTCTTTTCAACGAAGAGGGTCTTCCTGTCTTCATCAGCGCCTCAGGTATTCCCACTGTCTTCTGGCCCTCCTTCCCTTGTGTTGCCTGCTTCCTTTTTCTCCCCCGCCTTTTGAGCTGATGAGCGGTGAGAGCCAGAGCTACACTGCCCAGTGCTGTGGCAAAGAGCACCTTCTTCAAGTTTGGGGTGAGTTTTAGCTGAGAAAATATGGACTGAAAGGAGGAGAGGCAAACAAGCGCCGTCATCACAGACATCAATTTAGCCATTGTAACTTATTTTTCATTTCACAAGTCTGCAGAGGATGGTTCTGTATAAAGATGCAAAACTTTACTGTAAATGCAAAGCGATTTACCTGCCCAAATGTGGAATAGAGAAAGACTGGTATCTCCGCTACAGTCATGGCCAAAGCCTGGGCGATGGACATCCCTTCTGCTCGTTTGACTGACATCTCAGAAATCGAAATGCCTTCAGGCCGCAGTTCCCCAGAGCTCCCTCACATTCACCCTAAATGAAGTTTCCTCTCTGCTCTGAGATCAGCCAGCTCAGGGCTTGCTGATGAACCGTGTCTGTCCTCATTCACTCCTGACCTTGTGCTCCACACTAGTCCAGTGGATGGATGCAGTTTTATTGCCCTACAATAGATGAGACATTAGTTTTGGAAATTAACCGAGTGCACAGGCATCCTCTCTTTATAGCTGCATTAAACTGCACAGGCCCTGCAATGACAAAGACACAGCTACAATAGGTAGTACAAAAGTGCTGTTGATTCCAGGGCAAAATCCAGGCATAGAATTAACTTGCAAAGGTTCATGGTTTAGACTGGGAAGATCAAGCTCGCATTAACTGTTAAGCAGCAGCGCAACTTGACATCGTGCCAGCTAACTACCTATCTACACTGTCTGGTATGCAGCCAGTTATCCAGCCTGCCATCCAGCCTGCCTTACACCTACGCTACATGACAAACAGCAGGTGCGGTTTCAGCGTGACAGACTGGCTGACTTTTCATCTCTCTTTGGAGCTACACTGTCTAATTCAATAAAACATCGACTTATATGCAAAATGAGAATTTATTCTCCAGCCAGACAGGACAAATTATTGATGATGCAGAAGCTGTTAGTTAATAGACTTGACTATAAAAAGGTGAATAGCGAGCTAGGCAGTTAGTCAAAGGTCGTGAGTCCACCCTGCCACCACTTTTTCAACTTTTACCTAAAATACAGAGTAGGTCTGAACTCAGTTTTCGAAATTGTTGTTAATGACAAGCCAAAATCAACACAAGCAAGCAGGAAACAACCATCACAGGCGAGCATGCTAACGTTAGCTGGCACACTTAGCTAGCCTAGCTCAGCCCGATCCGTCACTTCACATCACAGCATCACCCGGTCAACCGGACACAAGCTGTAAGGCTTTGAAATGACACCTCAGAGGCGTCGGCAGCTCTGCTTACAGCACACCAGCGACACAACTAATAACATAATCCCTTACACAGGTACATACCGTGGGCATCCAAGGCGGCAGTAGGGAAGGACGTTCCTGTGTCACAGTCAGTGAAAGCCGCACACTAGATTTTTGCTCGGAGGCGGTGCTTTGGAAACGCAGGGAAAGTGACACGACCATAAACCAATCAGATGCGGAGTACAGAAGGTCAAATTCTTTTGTTGACCAATCGAATGACGGGTAGGCGGGATAAATACTTTTACAATCCAATCACGTTGTAGATCATAGAGCATCGTTCCCCGACGGACGAAAATCAGAAGGTAAAAGCTGTCAAAAAGTTTCCTGACGGTTCGTTTGTGTATAAAACAGCCATTAAAATAACACTGAAGAAATACAAATGAGTGATGTGTTGTTATAACAATGCTTTTATGATCATAACTAACTAACGTTTCTTTATACACTCTACTGGCCTATTTTTTTTTAAACAGTAACTTCTACAGTATCGTATTGGGGAAATCGGGTTTTACGAGTGGTTCTGAAGGGAACATTACACTGGTGTTAAACCCGCTAGAATAACTACAAATGATTGTTTCCGGTTTGGGCATTCACTTTTCACAATAAAAGCGCAACAGGTTAATCGCCAATGAACATATTTCCAAGTACTACCATCTTAAACATTACATAGAGTTTTAGTCCTCGTTTTAGTTCAGATATATGGATGGGTGGATAACTAGATTTATCTATTTATCTCTTCCAAGAGTAATTTTATTTCAAATTCTTATTTTCATAATAAGAAGGATGAATAACATTTCATGACACCTTTTATTTCATGACCCATCTTATTTTTCATATTGTATGAAATAGTACAAAACAAAATTTGACATGAAATGTGTTATGTAATAAAAGCAGACTTTTTGTAAAAGGGCATTGTGAAATAAAATATAATAATATATAATAATAATATAATAATGGCATAAAATAATGTTCAATAATATTTGGTTATTATGAATATGACTGGTGACATTCCATAGTAATGGCTTGAGTTTTATTAATCTCTTCAGTTATTAAAAATGTTGGTTCATTTATATATTTTACAAGTTATAATATGATTTTTTTTTTCATAATACATACTTTTCTTTAATTGCATTTATTTATATATTATTTAACTCTTTTGGGGTTCCATAATTAAGATGACACTTTTGTTGTGAAAGTCGGACCGGAAGTCATGTTCTAGATAGAGGAACATAAGTGCTGATTCAGGGCCTAGAATTCGTTAATAGGCCACTGTGTCAACAAACCGGGTGAGATAACAGAAGACAAGTGAACAGATTTCATATAATAGTTAATTCAGACATGATGTAGATAACACAAGAACATTGGACCTGTTGTGTGCCTGGGGATGAACACGAAAGTCACAAGGAAAAGGAAAGGATCTTGGATTTGAGAACACTCGCCAGAAGTGAGGAAAGGCTCCATTAAAAATGTAAATATGAATACTCCATGGCAAGGGTTGTCTCTCTCGCCGCTTCTGCCTCAAGTTAAAAGGCTGGAAAAATGAGTGCCGTCGGGCTCTCTGGAGCGGGGCTTTCCCAAAGGCCTTGACATGAAATCCCTGGTAAGAACGAACCGATTATTTAATGCAAAGGGTGCATTCATATTAGATTAATATTTAGAACATGTTCGGGGGTGAACCCTTTAACTCTGAACGTCTTGGTTTTACCACACAGATGCTCCGCTGGCTTTGCCTGGTCACTCTGAGCCTTCCTTTGCTGTTATGGTTTGTGCATGTGATCACACGGGACGGTCCATCGCCTCCTGTGCAAAGCACCGGGCTAAGGGGCTACATGAGGATCAACCCCGGCAGGAAGGAGCAGGTGAGAATCAGGGCTTCACGACACAGTCTGGGGTCACACAAATAAAACCCCCAGATGTTTGGTTCCAGATCAGAATGAGAATGGGAGGGGAAGAATGGAATAAACTGCCCAAATCCAAGTGTACAAAACTTGTAGAGACTTTCCCAAGAAGACTCAGAGCTTTAGTTGCTGCCAATGTGGCTTCTACAAAGTACTGAATAGAGTCTAAATACGCATGTAAATGAGAAATTTTAGTTTCATTTTGTCATTATGGGTAATTGAGTGTAGATTGAGGGACAAAAATGGGAAATTTATCCATTTGAAATTAAATCTACACCATAAAATGTGCGAAAGTGAAAGGGTCTGAATACTTTCTGATGCCACTATGAAGTGTATAATAAAGGGTTATTAATATCATTTTTATTGTTATTGTTGTTGTTGTTGTTGTTGCTGTGCACAAAGCACAACCTCAAACAGCTTTTCTATCTTCTCTTTGTCAACAGTTTCTGGACATACACTGCAGCCACTGTGCCTTGGTCTCCAGCTCAGGTCAGATGCTCGGTGCCGCCGCTGGTGAAGAGATTGACAAGATTGGATGCGTTTTCCGAATGAACAATGCACCCACACAGGGATATGAGAAGGACGTTGGGAGCCGCACCAGTATCAGGGTTGTGTCTCACACCAGTGTGCCCCTGTTGGTAAAAAATGAGCACTACTACTTCCAGCAGTCGGCAGACACTACGTATGTGTTCTGGGGTCCTGACAGGAACATGAGGCAAGACGGGAAAGGACGCATATTTAACGCTCTCCTGAAAATAGCAAAGAAATATCCAAAGGTCAGAATCTACGCCGTGACCAGAGAGAAGATTCAGTACTGTGACAGTGTGTTTCAGAATGAAACTGGAAAAAACAGGTACAGTTTGAGTTAATGTCCCAGGAGAAGAAATGAAAGCTTTGACTGATGCACTATTTATTTTGTTTTCCATACACTTAAGTAAACCAACATAAGAGGTAAACATGACACTCTCCCTGTTCAGCCTTATGAATTATTTATCTCTTCGAGCTCATTATGTGTTTTACCTAACATCCCTTCATAATAAAATCCATGAAACACAAAATACTTACAAATGCAAACATTACACATTTTAGTTATGAACCACATTATGGCTTGGGGTCATTTACAATGAGTATAGTGTATAGTTATATGTATAAACAGTAATGATGTATTGTGCAGTAAATGACTGGTAGGAGTTTTATGCTTTTATTTTGGTAATGTAAGATCTTTGGTGTCTCTCATCCAGAATGAAGACGGGGGCATTTCTCAGCACTGGATTTTTCACAATGATTCTGGCAATAGATATGTGTGACACAATCCATGTCTATGGGATGATCGATGATAACTTCTGCAGGTGAGACATTTAAAATTAGTTTGTGATCTACACTTAAGCTCCATCTGTTTTTTTTTTTTGTTTTTGTTTTTACAATTTAGCATCCTATATACTCTTTCCCTACTTGTGGTATTTCCTCCTCCTGACAGCCGGGCCAATCACAGTGTTGTTCCTTACCACTACTATGAGCAAAACCGGATCAATGAGTGCAGGATGTACAAGGTCCACGAGCACACGCAACGCGGGGGCCATCGCTTCATCACCGAGAAGGCCATCTTTGCCAAATGGGCAACACGGCGTAAAATCGAGTTTAAACACCCCTCTTGGAGCCTCTGAGGAAAGAGATCCTGACGCCCAGAAGATGTTCCTTGGCTGTACAGTGGTATTCACTTTTTCTGGCTTCTGCTCCTCTCTGCTGAAGATTTTAATGTTGCTGGAACTTTATCAAGCACATAATATGCTACTGACGGACTCCAGCTTTCATTTGGAATTGGACTTTTTTTTATCCACTATCAGCGATTTGATGCTGGCTCATAGTGGAAAAAATATCTATTACCATAGATATAAAAAGATACATTTTATTTCTATGCTTAAGGAAATTGAATTTACCAGCATTTAAGTGGTTACAGGTTTTAATGTACCACCCTCAGTATTATGGAATATTTCTATATATCAGTGTAGATACTGATAAAACATAATAAGCCACTAAACTAGACACTAAACCAGTTTATACCAAAGCTTACACTTTTTTATTTTCTTTATACCTGTGCCTTTTGGCCTCCTTTGGCCTCATTTTATTGTGCAATTCGGCTGGTGTAATTTAAAGCTACAATATGCACCTTTACTCTATGAGACAGAAAGTGTCCTGGAACTAATTATTATTTTCATTCGTGATAAACCTGGTGTTTATTCATTTTCACAATTAATTCATTAATCTCTTCTCAAAAAAAAATTAAATAAATGCCCAGTGCTCAAGTTTCCATATTTAAATTACATTTAAATTACTTGTTTTATTCAACCACTGGTCCAAAACCCAAAGTTATTCAATCATAAAAGATTAAGAAAACCAGAAACAACCAGAGCAATTGTGCATGAAAAATGACTTAAATGATGAATTAGTCCTCCAAAAAGGTTGTAATTATTCTTCTGTCTCATTGACAAATCCTTCCAGTCCCAGTATTGTTTTCCTTCCTGCCATTTGGTCAGTAATTTTGCCTCAAAACATGACAATCCTATGAATGATCTGCCTGCCTTGAAGCAGAGTAAAGATCAAAGCTGAAGTAAACCAGTGTCCATGGACAGTCTGCAATTTTAAAAAGAAAAAACACTGATAATGTCAATCAAGTGTTGTTTGTGGCACATTTCATTTTTCTTTCCTCCAGTGTTTTTCGATGCTGTGGCTGCTCATATACCAGACAAGCAACAAATGAACAAATGATCATGCTGGATACAAACGCAGATTCAGGCTATTACTTTATTCTTTATCAACTACTTGCTGTTAGATACTGTAGCTTTAAGCTGTTTACTTGCCCTTACTACAACCTTAAGCAAAACAAAGGCTCATGTTAATGTCTGTTGTATGTTTCCATAAAGTCCTTTGTGCCATTTAACCTAAACAGTGTAGTGTAGGTGGCCCCAGTGGTTTAACCTGGGTGATGGAGCCTTGTGTCATTGTTGTTGTTTTGGTCCATCATTTCATGTATGAAACACACACACACACACACACACACACACAAAACCACCTTCTCTCCTGAAGTATACATGATCATGTTTAAATCAGTCACACAGCAGACAGTATTAAACCGTAACTGCAGAGAGATCCACTGTCCACCACCTCCAGTTTTCAGCACCACAGACATCTACTTTAAAGTTATTTACCCTTTATATTGTGCTGCCTGTTTACAATGAAAACCTTAGTGCTGCCTTTTCAGTTGCATAACACTTATTTTGTGACTAATTCCAAAGACTGTAATAGTATTTGCACTACTGCGCAAAACTACTGTGTCAAAGTATTTTAGTGCATCTAGATTTGTTTTAATTCAAATGTATTATTAATGACTTTTAGTAAGGATTTGTGTAGTGAACTGTGCACAGTAAAAACTTGAATGTAAACTTGACCACTGGTCACTGCTAGTGTGAGATGTGAGTCAATGTTAATAAATGTGCTGTCAAAGAGGCTCTGCTTGTGTGTGTGTGTGTGTGTGTGTGTGTGTGTGTGTGTATGTGTATGTGTGTGTCAACTTGACCTTGTGTGAGACTATATAGAAAAATGATCTTTGTACCAGTCCCTGTTAGACCACTTAATTTGTGTGGATTCAGAGGCACAGGAAACACGTTTTCGCTCATTGACATCCTCAAGCAGTGTGGCCGTGTGCTTCACACTCTGTCATTGAGTTTAAGCCACCAGAATGATATGTAAATTTGATATAAAAATGGTTAACCTACAGCTTTTCTGCAGCAGTTGGAAGTAAATTAAACTTTGAAAGTTAATGCAAACAATTTCTACAGGTTTTCCTACTGCAGGAAGTAGAACTGTATATTGATACCAGAATGGTAGGTGAACTGGCTGGTGATTGGTTCATCCTACAGCAAGATAATGAGCAAAAACAGATTTACAAGACGATGGCTTCACATGATGCAAGATCAGCACAGTGTCCAGACTTAAACCAGCTGAATTGTTAGATAGATAGATGGATAGATAGCAGTAATAATAATAGTTAATAATAAACAATAAAAGTTCTAAGGTCTAGTCCAGGTCATGGGATGAACTAGGGCTAGGCAGAAAGTGAAAGCAAGGGAACCTTCAAGTGCAACAAATTTGTGGGAACTTTTCCTTTCTGAACAATATTTGACTGAAACCTGTGGCTGTTGAATGAGTAAAAGAATCTGATTAATTTAAGTTCATATAAAAAGATTCCATCAAATCTCCAGTTTTGTATTTGTTCCATGCAATTATACACACCTAGAAGTGCGTACATTTCAATAACTGGGAAAACATTTGCGCACACAAACACACACACACACACACACACACACACACACACACACACACACACACACACACCAATTTTTGATGAAACTTGATTAAACTGTCCAGCCCACATCATCATCATCATCATCGTCCTCTGCGCTGCAGCCACAGACGTGCTGATGACGTAACCGGAGCGGTGGTGCAGGAAGATGGGGGACGTGGGACGCCGAAACCGCAAAGGCCGTGAAACGGTAAAGCACCGGATTAACACAGCTGCCAGTTCTCACACTCTCGCATGCCACGGCAGTTAATATCTTAATCTGATCGGCGGGATATTGTGATTTTGGAGAATTGTGCGTAAAGGTGCGTCAACAGCGGACAACGAAAGTGTTGCGTAAGATGCATTTTTTTGTCCAAACAATAATTTTATTGCCTTGAATGTGTATGGCGTCGGTTTAATAGTATATAATATATACATAATAAATAAATGTATCCAGGCTGTGACACTGCAGATAGCATTTATATTGTTTAACGGTACATTCCTCGCGTGTTGTTGACATATCGCTGTGATGCTGCTTATTTACATGTAAACTGTACTGAATCCTGAATGGAACATTTGCTGTAGCTAACCCGAGAAGAAGATTGGAGTCAGTATGTTTGTCTCTCTCTGTCAGGTATGATGACAAACAGTCCCAGCCAGTGTGTTGGTACACGGCCTGATCAAAAAGCATGGGGCTCAGGCTCAATGGCAAGGTAAGACAGACCGTGCAACGGGAGGGTGTGGTACTTAGACCCCTTGCCCTTCAGCATCATCATCTTTAGTGTTATTAGTACAAACAAAGACGATTACATCCATGCAGGTATTATTACTGTCATTATTGTTTACCAGTGGTGCAGCAAGTTGTAAAATCCTTAACTAACTAATTAAGTACTGATTAAGTACATTTACTCAAATACTTCAGTACAATTTCAGGATAGGCTACTTCTACTTCACGACTACATTGTAGTGTGTTATAAAGCATTAATTACATGTTTATATTCTGATACATCATAAATAGGGGGATTTAAAGTGTTACCAGTTAATCTGCTGATTAATTTCTTCTTCTTGAGTAATTGTTGAGTTTGTAAAACGTCAGAAGACAGTAGTAAACGCCTGTCACAATTACCCAGAGCCCACAGTGGCATCTTCAGATTGCTTATTCTGTCCAACCAAAGTACAAATGTCCAAATAATTAATTTAATGTCATTTCAGAATAAGAAAATAGACAAATTGTCACACTTGAGAAGCTGGAATCATGAGTTTTATGATTAATTAGTTACCAAAAGAGTTGCCAATCGTTTTTCCAACAGATTGTCTGGCTTCTGTTTTAATTTGATATACTGTTAAGTAGAGTAAATCAATAACAAGGCATCATATCTTATTTCCCTCTGACATATACTGGATATATAAGTATAAAATCTCATAAAACAGAAATACAGACATAAGTATAAAGTACAAGTAAACCACATTTATATTTAAGTGAATTTACTAAATTACATTCCACTGTTTACGCTGCAGGGCCAGCAGAGCCACAGAATGGTGATCTTCTTGGCCATCTTCATCCTTATGACACTCCTCTTCCTGTACGGCTCCAACAATGGCAACGATGCTGTCTACGCTCCCTTCCACGTGGCTACAAATCACCCTCTCAAGAACACAGACCTGAAGAAGTGGGGCGGGAAAGACGGTTATGTGCCATTTTATGGGAACAAGGTACTTAACAGTTTGCACACAAACTCACAAATGTTACAACTGAAACTCCAACAAGCTTTGATGGTGAGATAATCCACATACAGATTACTGTACTGGATGTTACTGTGAGTGAACATGCAGCAGAGGTGAAGTGTTTTGTTACTGCTTAACTAGGGCAAATTTGTATGATGGTAAAAAATGGGGAACTTGTAAGCTGTGTTTGTAAACCAGTACTGAGAACAAAGGAAGTGGGACACCACCAGAAGCTGAAGCTATACTTACTGTCAGTGAAAGGAAACAACCATCCATCACATCAATAAGCACTCGTCTGGTTGTTGTTGCAGTATCAGCTTGTCTTTATCATATCCGGCATTTCTTGTGATTTTAAACTGAGAAGAAAATAACTGCAACTAATGATGAGCCTAGACACTTGTAATCACAATCTGATGTTCAAAGCTTCCATCCAAACACTACAACACACTAGTAGTGTTAATTGGTTTTGGCCTGTTAACTCAAGTATTTAACTCTGCGATCTAAACACGTCATCGGAATTTAGCTCTTAGAAAATGAATACAAAGTGTAGGATGTAAGTGAATCACTCAACCCCACTTACTCAATAATTTCCACTTCACTACTGAAGATGTTTTTTTGTTTTCTGGAGTACTTTCACTTAAAAAAAAGTTTTGTGTTGTCTTTTCTTCTCAGAGTATGACCCTGCACTGTCACAACTGTGCACTGGTGACGAGCTCCAGCCATGTCCTGGGGACTCAAGCAGGAGAAGAGATCGACCATACGGAGTGTGTGATTCGCATGAATGATGCCCCAACGTTGGGGTACGAGACAGATGTAGGGAGCCGGACTTCTCTCAGGGTTGTGGCCCACTCCAGTGTGTTCAGGGTGGTCCGAAGGCCTAATGAGTTCCTGCACCGCACGGACAACAACCCTGTGATTATCTTCTGGGGACCCCCAAACAAGATTGGGAAGGATGCCAAAGGAACTTTGTACAGACTGATCCAGAGAGTCAGCATGACCTACAGTAACTTCTCTTTTTTCAGTATCACATCAAGCAAGATGCGCAGGTTTGACAGTCTCTTTCATAAGGAGACCGGGCGTGATAGGTGAGTATGAAAGGAGGTTGTACAATGTTAATCGCATCTTATCTTGTATGTTTGCACGGTATTGAGTAAATGTCACTTTCATAACCTGTTTTTCCACTTGTTTTGTTTGTTGTTGTTTTTTTTTTATGCACAGACAAAAATCTCATTCATGGTTGAGCACAGGCTGGTTCACAATGGTCATAGCCATTGAGATATGTGATAACATCAAAGTATATGGGATGGTTCCACCCAATCACTGCGGGTGAGTAAAATAATGCCATTAATCACAATCACAATCGACCCATTGGTTGCCACATTATTACAAATCCCAGATGAACTGGCTGTCAAACCAAACAAGTAATAATATTAAACTCTTTTTCCAGGAAAAAACCCGGATCCAAGAAGATGCCCTATCACTACTACAAACCCAGGGGGGTTGATGAATGTGTAACATACATACAGAACGAGGGCAGCCGAAGAGGAAACCACCATCGCTTTATTACAGAGAAGCAGGTGTTTGCACGCTGGGCAAAGCAGTACAACATCACCTTCACTAATCCCAAATGGTCAAAAGACTGAAAACCTCAAAAGAGATCTCTCTGCACTCACAGAAGCCTGAGCCACTACTATGGACTGAATTTCATTGTTAACTTCCTCGATTGAGCCTTTAAATAGCCACATGATGAATGAGTTTTTGAAAAAAAAAAAAAACTATTGTTAGACCACATGACTGAGGAGAAGTATGGGAATGTTTTCCGTTGCAGAAAAATGCTGAAACTTATTTTTGAGAGCTTTCTGAAATACGCTGTGCACCTTCCACGTTGACATGTGGCAGCCGTCTGATAAGTGTTTTTGTAAATAGAAAAGAAAATGAATTTAAAGATGAATTTTTACATGTTTATATAGTTTTGTTATGTATTGAAAATGCACTCATGTTTCCCATGTTGAAGGGGGATATATCAGCAAGTATTCTAAACAGATATGTGACTAAGTGGCCAACAAAATACACTCTATATATCTCTTACTAGTCCATTATACATAGATTATATTCTATTGTAATTGCAGTGACATTCAGCAGATCACTAATTCTATCTATATAGCTTATGTCTTATAGGCAATGTGGCCGGGTACCATTTTTTTATGAAACCAGCTCCTGAATCGATACCAAAAAAGAACTTTCTTTACATCTTTAGCTTGAATATAAGCATTTCTACATATATTTAAAATATAAGCCGAACAAATCATTAAAACAGCATCTGTACATCGACGAATGATTAAATCATTATGTGATTTAAATCAGGAAATAGACTATTAATAAGCTAACACGACTAACAATCTGACCAAGGATTCAATATCTGCTTATGATTTTATGTTTTCATACTTGGTGCTACAGACACATTTCAGAAAGTATTATGGCTTTAAACCCAGCCACGTTAACAGATGTCAATATCATTTGATAACAATGATACATAGGCACCTTAAGTTTGAGGGACTTCATCAGTGAGAAACAATTACACTGCTATTCATACATTAATTACTCATTTGTCAGACATATTCAGATTCCAGAAATGATGTGGTAACAAATGTATTCTAGAGATGTAGACTGTACTTTTCTGTTCATTTCAAACATGAGGACATAACACTAATTTGATGATCGGTACTTCATAACATTTTTGCTGCCCTAGATGTTGACTTTAATGTTTTTGTTTTTGGGATTAGACTGAATTAGACTATGAACATAAAACTGTTGCCTCATAATTTAAACCTTTTTACTAGGGGTGTAACGATTCTCCAGATCCACGGTTCGGTTCAGACCTCCATTTTCTTTTTCTTTTGTGTTCTTTTTTTTGGGGGGGAATAACCTAAATGTTCCACACTGCTGACTTGAATGTGTCTGGGAAGGGGGTCTGCCGTCTCAGGGTTATTATCCATCTTGAGCTAATTAAACTAACCTAAATTTTACTGCAGGCGTGATGATTGGACCAAAACAGTCCCGTGACACGCAGCTGGAAGACAATAATGTAATGTAATGTGTAATATTGACAAAATATACAGCCTGACCTGACTTTAAGTACAATAATTTTATGGTTTACATGTTGTGGTGTTGTGAAATGAAAAATGAGTTTTGTTGGGGGGGGGGGGGGGGGGGCACATGAGATCGTGGATGTTTCTGTTGCGGGATTGTTACACCCCTACGTTTTTTTTGTTTTTTTTTACCTCAATGGCATTCCAGCGCATGCAGCTTCAGTTCAAATGCATCATGGTTGTGTTGTGTGTCAGTATGTTGCTCGTAGGACTGCACGATTAAGCTAAAAGTAAAACTGTAACTTTAATATAGAAACACGATGCCAGGAAGGGTGCAAGTTCTTCAACTATATTGCCTTTGCAAGGAATTAATCCGTTCTCGTAGATATATCCATCTGCAGGAGAGGCTCTTCTCACGACGCACGCAATGTGCTTGATTTGTTGTTTACTTTCGATCTATTGGTCAGTGATGAACAGGAAAAAAATATACATGAACTGCACTGACTGTTGTGCCACTTTATTGACATTAAATTGCCTGCTAAATTTATTGAGATATTAGCCTGAAAAACTGATCAGGAAACTGTATGTGAAGCCTCTCCACAGAAACACAGTCCTACAAATAAGCCAGTAGAATTCTGCAGGCCCGGACCAGACCTGGCGTTAAAGTGAAATCTGTCCAGCTTCGTGAACTGAAAAATGAAATGCTAATGTAAAAGGAGTTGATGCATGCAGCATGCATTGCAACTGGAATGTGATTGCATCTAGAAGATGATCAGACAGCTGTAAAGGCCTGCAGACCTGTAGAAACTTCCAACTTTCAGATGTTGCTAAAAAGCACATAGGTCACTGTCTCTTCATTAAAACTAAATGTGTTTGACCTTTTCACTCAGAAGCCTGAAGCTGACTCTGGTGCTTATTGATGAAAGTTCAGTGCCATTTGTTTGCCCATGTTGTTTGTCTGAACATTGTTTTTCATGAAATGCTCTGTACTGTTTAAAACCAATTATATGTTGAGAAAAAAACAATACAAATCAGTAAAAACATGGGGATAGTTGTATATTTAAATATGTACAATTTGTTGGATCCTTTAGAAACAAAACCACAGAACAAGTAAATAACACAGAGAGAAATCTGACAGGTATCTAGCATTGACAGAACTCAGTGCCCTGATGTGATGTGATATTTGAGATCGTGGCTGTTTTAAAGTATACAATGCTAAAAGGTCAAATTATTGAAAATGAACAACTTCACAGTAAATACCAGTTGCATGATAAAACGTCCATCAGCATGTCTTTGTTTACTTTCCTCCACCACTAATTCTTTAATGAAGTATTGGAAACATCTGAAAAGGCAGCTGTGATCTTCTCTCTCAGCCCTGCCATGGAAATTAAAATGGCCTCCTGTACAAAAGGGAAAGAGTAAATAATTAAACGAATACACTGTCACACTCTGGTGAGCAGAACAGGTGAAGCCAAAGTACAGCTCGTGTAGCATTTGCTTATGGTGCAAAGAGTGGACATGTAAACTTAAAGCTTAGTTTAGCAAATATATGCATCCTCACCTCTGTGCGAATGGTCCTGCTGCCCTGACCGGGGCATGTGTTGAGGTAAAGGTCAAATAAAGCGCTGGGGTCAGTCACATCTAGGTTTTGGTCAGCATCCACACTGGCCTCTAATCCCTGAAGACCTCCAAAAACGACCAGAAGATGCCTAAAAAGTGGAAGAAGTCAAGGTTTAACACAATTGTAAAATACCATTAATGATATAAAAAGACTAGGAGAATATAGCAATGCTAGCGGCTCTGTGAGACTGTACCTAGGCACAGTGCTGCTCCTAGCTAAATGCCAACATGCTCAAGTTAAAATTTTGACCTGATGATGGTGCTAGAGGAAAAGTTAAGGGATTACCAAAGTTATTACAATTCATCCTGAGAGGTGAGAGGTGAACGACCCGACCAACACTGCCACCCCTAGAGCCACACTGCTACCACAGCTAATAAAAGCGTTCCGTCCGACTCCCCCTCCAGTCTTAACTGGCTCTGAACCTACTTGAATGGCGACATTGTGGATTGGTCCATGCTGCTGCCTCTCTCTGAGGTGCCGATAGTCAGATCGTATCCTTCTTTATATGGACTTTCTGTGAAAACTGCACCTGCATAAATAAAAACCAGCAGCAATAAGGATAAAGCGGTCAATGCAGGGCTCAAGTGTCATGCTGGATTCAGCTCTTCACCCTCCAAGACACTGCAAATTCATTTGAAGCGCATGTTTGAGTAATAGGAGTTTATTAAGAGAACGGGAAACCTACTGAGACAAGATGCCAGGCGGACGCTGTAACCCCAGTAGAGACCTCCTTCAGTCCTGGGCACATGAGGAGCCACCACCACACCCTGGTATATTTTGCTCTCTGAGGGTGATGGACAGACAAATGGACATAACACACTCAGTTGATGTGCAGCATCTTGAGCATAATGAGCACAGTAGAACTAAAGCCAGGAATCATCAAACAGGACACAGTCTGGTGGACAACACTACCTTGATTCTGCGCCTTGTTGAGCTGAACTGTGACTCGAAGTCCAGACTGCAGCTGTTTATCGATACGAACATCCTGTGGGAGCAGATGGACATAGTTCAGTCTTGTATGCCAAATAGTCAATTAATGGCAAATGGCAAAAATTCACTGGTTCCTGCCTCTGAATTGTGAATATTTTCTGCTTTTCTTTGTCTTCTATTACAGTAAGTTTGATATATTCGTTTTTCTCACATCAAAAAATAAATCAATAAATCCAGAGAATACCTCGAAGATTAATTGCTGATGAAAATAGTCATTGGTTGCAGCGCTACAGTCTATATTCACATGTAAATGCCAACAGTCCACATCAGCAGATGGCAGTAACCTCTGAAGACATGCCCACCTTTCTCATCCCACAGTTGACTAATGAGCCTTTTCCTTGTTTGCTCGGTCTGTCGAGGATGATTCCTTCCCGGTATTCTGACTCCTCATCTATCCTCATGTGGTGAGGACTGTCTAAAGGGTTAAGCAAACCTGGTGGAAAAAAGGCCAGCGACTTGTGAACAATTGTCTTCTGTTGCCTTCATTTCTAAGCCTGTTTATAGCCGATATTAAACCTTTACATAGATTTAGTATTCAAATAATTGTAAAAGTGCACCCTCTGTATTCATTTATACATTTACTACAGAAACAATTGTCTTTATGACTCTTCTGTAGGTAGAAACACAAATAACAAATTTGTTCTGATGTAGTAGTGTTCTTGTTGTTCTATGGACATTATTTTACAGCAAATACAAGCCTACAACATATTGAGAAGATACACCAACAACAATGAAAATGGCGGCTGAATTTACATAGATTTTCTCAGAGAAGGAAGTAAAACATAGATCAAGTTTTATTTCAAAGTAAACATACGTTCTGTAAGTCAGAGGTGATACTTTAAAACTGTCAAAACTCTGTGACTTGCACTTAAATGGTATCAATACATCAAATGTCATCATGTTCTTAAGTTTTCTACAGTATCAGATGTAAAAGTAATGTATGTGGAGGAAATCTGTAAATTACCTGCGTACTGTAAATCTTGATGTTTTGGGAAAAACCACTTGCGCAGGTACCTGGTGGAGAAGCAAAGATGTAACCCTAATCTGGTAACATTGGCTGCTATTGGTGGTCTGATTATAATATGCTCAAACTTACTGTGGACATTCAAGATACTGAAGTATTCTGGCAAGCTGAATACAGGCATGCCCTTTCTTCCCGACACCTTTAAATTCTCCTTCAACACTCCTGTGGGACAAAGTCACGAAGCAGAAACTTTTTTTTTTTTTAATTTGCTTTGTGATAGTTTAAAGGTGTGGTAACCAATAAGTCGCACATCTGTGTTTACTTACTTGACATCCTCCCCTTGTTCATCAAACACAACGATCTCATCGACACAGAACACGACACAGGCTCGAGCGATCTGTCCAGCCAGGTATGTACGAAGTTCAGTGGACTGAGCGTTGTCCAGGACAGAGCCTGGCAGGGCCACGCTCACCGTGTACGCCCGACCTACGAGATACAGATCACATGTTACAGCTGTTCTCTGTTATACAGGCTGACAACGACATATGGAATGATGATAGTTACCTTTTTTGTCCTGGCTTTGTTCAAGTTTTGCTTTCTCTGCGGCCTCTTGCTGTTTCTGATTGTCCAACTGTTTAATCAGCTTGGCCTCTTTCCTTTGCTTCTTGGTTTCCTTTACTGTTGTTGAGGAAGAGTCATTGATGCCAGTGAGCAAATTAGATGCATCTAGAAAGACTGGTGATCCAAATTGATGGTCTAAGGAAGTGGTTTAGAAACTTTTTTTGGGCTTGCGATTTCTTAAAACAAGACCAGATCTATTTGTGACCCCATGTGAGTTTTAGACTTGAAACAATTAGTCGGTTAGTTGATTGTCACTTTTCAAAAAAATATATACATAGTTCCGGTGTGTGAGTTGTGAGGACTTGTTGCTTTGGTCTTTGTCTTGTGTGATAGTAAACTGAATATATTTAGGTTTTGGACTGTGGGTCCGGCAAAACAAGCAAAGGGAAACCCTCATGTTGTCTTTACAATATCTTTCACCATGTCTGACATTTCACAGACCAAACGATTTGTCAAGAAAACGAGAAGTTGATTTACAAATGACAAGAAATTCTACTTTAATCCTGTGGCTAAAACTTAATATGAAATACTTAGATGTTGGTGTCACTTTGAAATAATCTAAATCTATATATTCACTCTCGAACAAAGACACTTAAAAACTTTAATTTAGTGTTTGAGTTTATAAAAGAACGCGCTGTAACTTCACTATGAAAGCACCTTGGCTGACAGACATGCAGCTGAAAGCTATCAGCTACATGCAGCTGTGTTTTTACTCACTTTCTGCTTTTCTTTTCTTCCAGTCCACCCTCTCCTCGGGCTGTAAAAACACAGGGAACACGTTATAGGCGGCGTAGAAAACAGAATGATGTTATTTTAATGATAAACACAAGAGTAATATTACCTGAGAGGACACTATTTTGGGTCTCTTCGCTGCTACACCGGTAGACATTTTTACACACACCAACACGTGAAGATTATTTACTTCCGGGTCGTCATCCCCTTTTCAGAATAAATGTCTGTTAGTCCTGCATAATCAAAGAAAAGGCCTGAAGTTTTATTAATTGAACAGCTGTGATTTTTCTTACCACAACCAGTACTTCATTGAGGTATTGGCCTATAAATACTTTTCCAAGGCCCAAGAATATATATAAGTTTCAACTTAAAAACAGGCAATGGGCATTTCTGCTGGAATCTGGATCAAATTCAACACTACAGACTTGGCTTACCTTAAATTTTATTTTATTTATGGTGATAATTTACTACTAGGGAATATTTTTTTCATCCTCCTTTTCCTTGTTCTGAAAGCAGAAAAGGAATAAGACATATCTTGAGTGTAAATTTAAATGTTTAGGTTGTTAAATGCACATAATAATAGTGTAAAAGCCTAAAAATAATACAACTGAAGGTGTGGATTTTTAAAAATCTTTATTTAACTTTTACTTGGATACATGACAAAAACATCTACAATTACTAAGAAACAGAATATTGAAAAATATTTTATGTACACTTTGCTGCTGCTTGAAATCCTTGCACAGAAACATTTATTTTGTTTATTTTGTTTGTTTTTCAAACCCTGAGCACACACATAAACTGAATATGACTCAATTTAACCCAGATATCCAAAATGAGTTTAACTAGGCTGTTGAAATCATATTGGACAGAAAATGCATGACTACGTGCTCTACATCTTTGGCTAGTTTACTTTCTGTAGCTCCATTTTCTCAAGATGTCCTCTGCTGCATCCAGGGTGGAGTCCTCCTTTCAGACAAAACCAGTGAGTGAGAAGAACTGACAAAAAGCAACACAAAAGTAGATTAGTTATGATGTAATGTAACTTTGTTTACCTTGACGAAACAGGACCGGATGTATTTGTCAAAGTCCTTTCTGTGCTCTGGACTGTAGAATGCAGAGACGGGGATCGTTGCTAACCCCTGCAGAACACAAGCCAAATTACATAGAAAGAAGTTAATGACAATAAATAAAAACAGGGCATTCTAAATATATCAGCATACAACATAAATCATACAACTCTTATAATATTGCTTTCATTTTAGCATCTTTCATTAAATTCTATAAAATCTTCACTACATTTTTAGTTACTACCTTCTCTTTAATTAGCCATTTAACAAATCTGAAGTCATATGGTTCATCATTAGTGCTCTGGTCACTGAGGCCAATCTCTGTTAAAAAATAAAGTTAAAGTTAGTCAGTAGTGTCCAGACTCAAAGACAAAAAATTAGTCAAATTAGATGCCAAATAACCACAGAGATGGACAATGACCACAAAGAAACTCAAAACAAGTAAATACAGACACAAAACAACCATAAATAGATGTGAATCAACTACAAAGAGATGCAAAACAGTTAAGTATAGATGCAAAACAGCCACAAACAGATGCAAAATGACCACATATAGAGTCTCTTTCAATCTGTGGATCTTGCTCTGTGGGGGATGGGGGGCCTTTTACATGTCTGTGGCCAGGGGCACATTGTCTCATAATTTGTCAATGGCTCTGATGTGTTATTGTATGCAGGTACAAACAAGATTTTTTAAATTTATTTATGTATTTATTTTTACTGATTTATTAAATGATATGAGAAAATTTTATTTGTAGTCATATTGGTTAATCAAGCACCTTTACAAGCCCTCCTACTGAACCTGCTCCTCAGTATAATGATGTGGGATTAGGTTGCTGCAATACTAAGAAATTCAAATTTTAATCTCAAATCTATCTATAAATGAGACACCTCTTTGACTACATGTTTAAACTGCTGTTATGCAGACGACTGTAATATACACATTTCCCTTACAAGGAAAACACAGTGTCAATAAACAGATAAGAGTAACACTGAATAACAGAACATGTGGACTCTTTATTAAAACTTTTTGCTCAGTTTGATTCAGGACAAATATCTCAGCAGGTAAAATGTGTCACACAGGCAGAAGAACATCATTTAACTTAAAAATAAATCACTTCAACTTTCCATTAAAATAACTGAAAAATTATAGTTATAATACGGAAAATATTTACTTTACAATCTTCAGCATACAATCATTGCACGGGATCATTAACAAGGAGTTTTCACGATTGTAGAATTAGGACAGAAAGTGGATGATGTGTTTGTGTACTTTACAGTACACACACTCAGAAACACCGAATATGGCTGAATATTTAACTAAGGAAGCAGACTAGGCCAGCTTGAATAGCTTGGTGAAATTTGGATGGACGAGTAGCCCTTCACATCATGGACGGCTTTACTGCCCGGGACTCCACTTTCTCAAGATGTCCTCTGCTGCGTCCAGCGTGGAGTCCTCCTGTGAGCACAGAAACAGTGCGTGAGAAAGGCTGACGAGGAGCAACAGAGTGAGACAGGAGAAGGTCTGGATGACTTTCATTTCAATTAATTAGGTTGAATTTACCTTGACGAAACAGAACCGGATGTATTTGTCAAACTCCTTGCTGTGCTCTGGACTGTAGAATGCAGAGACGGGGATCGTTGCTAAACCCTGCAGAGAAAAAGACAAATTATATAGTAAAGAGTCAGAAAAATTAGGATATGCTTAATACATCACCATACAGCAAAATTAAATGTTGCACAAAAACACTAATCCAATCACTTTTTCTTTTCTTTAACAGAAAACGCATCATGCAGTCGTCGTAAATCCTTACCTTCTCTTTAATTAGCCATTTAACGAATCTGAAATCATAGGGTTCATCCTTAGTGCTCGGGTCATTCAGATCCAGCTCTGGTAAAACAAGAAAGCTGAGGTGAATATTCATTAGAGTAGAAGCAATAAACTGACACGATGATTTTAAGCAATGATGGATGCAACCAGTTCAGATGTTTGTTCGTCACTCACTGACAGAGGAGATGTCAGCGATCAGGAAATAACCTCCCTCTGGCATGATGGGCTGCAAACCCACACTCTCCAGACACGAGGCCAGCTTCTTCCTCTTGTGGTGCAGCATCGCAGGCAGCTGCTGGAAGTAGCTGTCTGGACTCCCAAACATCTGGTACTCTCTCTCAAAGCCGTGAGCCACTGCCTCCTGTTACACACAGGATGGGATGGTTCAGTGGAAACTCTGAGTGTCTGGGAAACTAACCTGCTCGCTGGCAGGTTTTCTTCAACAAACACTCGAGTTTCTCTCTGTCTTCTCCCTCCTCCCCTGAAGAAGCTGTTTGACACAGCGCTTCATTTCCTCATTCATACTGTCAGCGTCAAAGTGCAGATCATTCATTTAAACAAGTTTATGTTGGGAGAAGATTAAAATCCAGATTGGACATTAAGAACTCTCTTTACTAACATTATACCTCAGTTAGGATCAATCAGTGATCAGTGTGAGTTCAGAGACAGCGACCTCTCACATTCAAATATTACACATGGTTGCCTCATCCTCAGCTCAGTGTGCAGGTTTTTATTGCAACAACACTGTCTAAAATGTTCAAATGTTACCTGAGCAGCTGTTGCACAGTGGTAAACGCTGTTCTGATGGATGGTTTTCATGTGTTTGATGATATGTCCGGAGCTGATCGCCCAGCCAACCTGACAAGACAATACGAGACATCAGAAATCAGAAAAATAAAGCAGATCACATGACTTTGTTGACCACAACATCTGTGCATTACCTTCCAGCCAGTAGCACTAAAGGTCTTTCCAGCGCTGCCAACAGTGATGGTTCGCTCCCACATGCCTGGAAGACTGGCTGTCAGCAACACAGCAAAAACAAAACAAAACAAGCGATAATTAATAATTTCACTCTGTGATTTTAAGCATTTTGCTGAACTCTAGCTTTACACTATCTCACCTATCTTTACATGCTTGGCTCCGTCGTAAGTCAGCCACTCGTACACCTCGTCACTGATGCACAGCATGTCGTGTTTGATGCACAGATCAGCGATCATTTGCAGCTCTTCCGTCTTGTAAACCTGTAATATTGATATATATGTTCGTTTATGAGCAAGGCCACAAAAAAAATCCCTCTGTTGAACATTTTGCACACAGGACTGCACAAAAACAGCCTTCACACAGATTTTATCTGTTGTTGTGCCAAATATGAGCACAACAAAGCTCTCCTCTCAGCAGACTGGGTGCATTACCCAAAGTTGAGAGCGAACAGTCAATACCTGACCTTTCCTAATGGGTTGTTGGGAGTGTTGATAACAATGGCTTTTGTGCGTGGAGTGATTTTACTGGCCAGCTCCTCAGCAGAGAGAACCCAGTCTCCACTTGACAGGATGGTGCCACCGACTTTCTATAATTAACGAAAGAAAAGAGAAAAATACTTCAAGGTAAATGTAAAAATTTAAGTCATCGAAGACAAAGGTGAGATTGCTAAAAGAAGGTTCACAGCTCTTTTATATTTTTTGTCATGTGTAAACCACCCACCGGCCTCAGAGGCACATACACTGCCTTTCCTCCAGCCATCGTCACCATCGGCTGGTAACAGTCAAAGAACGGCTCGACAATTATGACCTGAAAGACAAATGTCTGTTGTTTGATTTTCTTCTTTCAAAAAATAACCACATGTAAAGTTACTGCGTGTAGCACCTTTAGACACACTGTGTAATGGCATTAATTTTCTTCAATTCTTACTATTTTTTAACCTGTGCTAAGCACCATGTAGAGGAGTTCTAATATGCACACTTTATTCAAATTTATGCAAATATCTTCTGAATTTGCTGCTTTTACATTTTCCTAACTGCTGTTGGACTGTAAAACATTTTGACTCTGACTTGTGTTAATTTTCCATACCTCATCACCTTCATCAACCAGAGCCTGAAATGTGCAGAAGAGAGCCTGATAAGCTCCAACTGTGACCAGGATGTCGTCAAGAGGATCGATCTCATGTCCCACAATCCTACTGAAGAATTTAGCCAGATTTTTTACAAGAAGCGGGTGGCCCTGAGGAAATGTGAAAACAACATTAAAACATGAGGTGTTGTTCTGCATCCATTTGTCCCTTTAATACCTGATAAAAATGACTGAAATCATTATAACATGAATTCAAAATAAGCTTATCTGATATTCACATACAAGTCTCCCCATGTGTGCAATTACACTTACAAAAGCTCGGGTATACTGGTGCATTGTGGGTCCTCCACTCACAGCTTTACAAAAAGCCTCCTGGATAAACGGAGGAGGGGAGAAGTCAGGAAATCCCTGTCCGAGGTTCACTGGTTTGTAGTCTGCTGCCAGTTGTGTGAATTCAACCCTGTTGGTGCAAAACAGCTGCTCAGAAAATGTATCTGTCATTATCACATATATATACGTTTAACGTTTTGGAAATTTAAAAAAAAAAGAAGAAATAACAGCAGTATAAAACATCACTGGGAAACAAGCAAAACAGAGAATGATAAAATATAATCTGATTACTTGGTATTAAAAAGACCTATTTTTGTCTCTTGTTGCAGTCTGTGGCACTAATGCTGCCTTCAAGAAGAAATGTGATATTTTTATCATTTAAATGTGTAGTAACCCGCGCTCTGTACCACCCCCATGCTCCACCAATCAGATAGTTATATTAAGGACTGGACACTTGAATGCAACATTAGAACTACTGACGGACTCGACCTTAAGGGTAATAAACTACTAGAGAACAAGCACAACGTGTTCACCTGGAAATAAACAGTCTTGGCAAACACATGAAGTGGTTAATCTTCTGCCAGGAAACCATTAGCTTTTGGACTCAATTTAATCCCAGATTTATATAACCTAAACAAACTCCTGGGTAAATTGGGTGTCAATCATGATGCAATATTATCACTTACCAAACGTTTTTATCGACCCCGTCTGTCCTGCGCGCATGAAGTCGTCCTGCCATGATTATCTGTGATGAAAGCAGCTCTTTTTAAAGTTCGCCGTATGATGCAGTTGTAAAGTGTCTCTTCAGTGTTTCAAAGCAGTACTCACCTGATGATGATTTCTGATTGAACTCTGACGAATTACAGTCAAACTAGCGGCCAGGTTTCTGATTATTCCCATCAATGGAAGATCATACCGTGGGACAGGAGCGCACAGGTTTATATCACCGCAGAAGAATCCCCGCAGGACAGATGACGGTGTACTACAAATGTTTACAGACGTGTTGTTCAGCCCTGATGAGCAACACTCCTGAGGCAAGTAGATGTTAACTAACGAGAGAAAGTGAGAGACGAGTCAGGTCTCGTGCCTCCCCTCCGACCTCCTTATGTTTTCATTTCTACTTCCTGCCTGGTGGGCGGGGCGAGATATTCAAATTGGAAACAGCGACACGGTCAACACTTATGGTCAACACGGACAAACACGCACACAAACACACGCACACAAAACCAGCTCACACACTAACTACAGTGTGATATATAATAAGTAATCAAATCACTGCTGGCGTTTAAAGGAGCAGTTCTTCATCTTCGGGAAAGAACTGTATTTGTTTTCCGACAGTAGTCATCGTCCATTTTTTAGTCTTTTCTTCTTTTTGTGTTTTTTGTGTCTTTGTATCTCCATTTTCAGTTTTTCTTGTAGTTGTTTAATTTCTGTAGTTGTCTTGTGTCTTTGTGGTAATTCTGTAACTCTTTGAAGTAATCTTTACTTTCTTGTGGTTTTATTAAATGTCTTTATTGTGCCTCTTTGTTTGGTGCTTGTTTGCAGTGGGTTCGTGTGTCTTGATTTACCAACAATAAATGGTAAGTCACTTCAAACGGAGGCTCTTGTCCCTGTGCTGGTAACTTTTTGTTGATAGTACTTTTGTACTTTTACTTCACTATGATTATAACTGTAGGGTAAACTGTAAAGGTTGAGTACTTTTACATAAGAAAATGATTTGAATACACTGGATTTTGTTAGCTTTGGACTGAGCCAGGCTAGCTGTTTCCAGTCTTTATACTAAGTTAATCAAGTTAACCAGTTGCTTGCTGTACGTTGACTTCATAGAACAGGGATGTGAATAAACGTATCCTGCAAAATATCGAACTATTCCTTCAAAAGACACAAACCTCAGTTTGATATCTTGGGAGACAAACAGAAATCCAACAAATTCAACAGAAACTTTCATTCATCTTCTTCACAACAAAGGATAATATTTTATTGATCATAACACATATTATACCTTGACAAGAAAGAAGGTACAATATGTGCACCAGCTGTAGCGCTTTCATATCTTTTAATAAATCACACTACGATAAAAAGATACTGATTTACTTTTTTAGACTTTGTGTATGTCTTATGATAAAACACCACAGACTCCTACACTGCTTTTTTCAAGTCCTCAGGCAGCACTCTGCCTTTCTTCCGCGCCCTGTCCTTCTTCTTCTCTGTTTTGACTTGTTTGCGTTTCTGGATGTTCTTCCGCCTCTTGTCTTGCCGGTGCTGCATTTTCTCTAAGATGTTCTCGCTACGCTTGTCCCAGTTCTTCTTCCTCTGAGCGCGGCCCTTCTCCTTCTTCTTCAGCGAGGCACGCAGCATGTCCTCGTCATCCTTGATTTTGATGCCCTCTGCTTTATAAAGCAGGTTGGTCCATTTCATCTTCTCCTCCATCTCACGGGCCTTCCCCTCGTCTTTCTCCCTCAGCTCTTCCAGCTTTGCTTTGCGAGCCTCAACGCGGGTGAGCAGCTGCTTGTAGTTCTTCCCTGTCAGCGGTGTTAACTGGCCCTTGATGCCCTGTTTCTTGTTCTTCTTTTTCTGCATTTCATTTAAATAACACTCATCTACCATCTCCACCTTGTTGAAGATAATAGCCGTTTTATTTCTTTTGTTTTCAGCAGGGGCAGGCTGTTCCTGCTCTTCCTGTTTTATCTCCGGCAGCTGCTCCTCACCACTTTTTTCTTCTAGCTGCTTCATCCGAAACTCTTTCCTCTTCCTCTTCTTGCGTTCGCGTTCCAGCTTTCGTTTTGCTCGCTTGGCCTGGACTGCTTCTGATAATGTATCCTTTGGAGCTCCCTGATAAAAGACATGCACAATCTGATTAGTGTCTAACAAACAATAAATCATGTAATTTTCAGTTTTATAATTCAGTCAGAAGTCAGTCATATTGAAAAAAACTGCACCAACTCTAAACCTGAATGGATGGAAATGGAGACGTGAACATGCACATGATCAATAATGAATTCTGGCCAAAATCCTGAGATCTTCTTATTAGTGTCTCAGGTGTCTGGTGTATCAAATATCTGCTTTACCAACCAAGTCAAACCTTTGCAGCTGAGGCCTGTAACTGCACAAGAACAGCTATATTTCTGGAGCAAGCAAAGAATAACTTATGGCCTTAGCTTCAAACTGACAATATAATAAAAACATCAGTACTATGCTGCATATTATGCATTAAACGTTTCCTTTACTGTGTTTGATGTTGCGTGTGATTGTACTTGTTTCTTCTCAGCATCAGAAAAAGAGCACAGTTTTAGAGGCAAACATTTTTCAACATTCAAATGGCACCTTTCAGCCAACATTGATTGTTCTGCTGGTTTTAAAACAGTTCCAATGGAGGAGACAGTGGGCGGAGTTTACCGCATCAGTACAATTGACATAATGTGATGTTGCTAATGGAGAGTATAATTCAACCTCCATGTGTCTCTCAGTCAGAGCTTTTAAAATGTGCATACCTGCCCTCTGGACTCTTCGATTTTTTCATGAAGCCTCTTGCGTAGAATATCTACTGTTGAGAAGTTGGACTGTGCATTAACTCCTTTAAAAAAAAAGAGAGAGAAGAATAAAATGTGACTGTAGGAAATGTAAATATAAAGTTAAAAACACACACAGATTAGAGCTTTAATGAACTTTGATGCACATTGCTGAGTTTCTGCACCTTTAGGTGTCGGCGTTGCAGATCCATTTACGCTCTCAGCTTTGGAGCCTTTTGGTTTTGCTGTGACTGGAGTTTTCTGTGCTGCTGGAGAGGGTGAGGGCTTCTGTTGGGCTTTAGGTGTCTTCTCATTGGTGGCCCTTTCTTTGAAATGTTTCTTTTTACACTTTTTCTTCTTCTTTGGGGGACCGGTGTCACTTTTCCCCTTGAAGTGGGCTACACACAGACAAAACAAACACACGTATCGTGTAAATGGAAAGATAAATGTTTTAAATGTTAACATCTGATTAATTAAAAATGTCTGTCACAATTTCCTAGAGCCCAAGGCAATGTCCTAAAATGTCTTTTGTCCCACCCGTCAATACCCCAAAGATATCCACTTATGATATTAAACACATAAAAGCCTGAAGTTATTACATGTAAGAGGCAGAAAATTAAATGATTGACTGTGATAAATCAAAAATCAAAATGGTTGCCGACTACTTTTCTGAAGAAGTTGTTAATTTATCAGCTCTATTTCTAATATTTGTGTCTTGAATACAAACGATGTATCAGGAAACTGTTTTTACTTTTACAGTGTAGCGCCTCATTTGATCAGCTGCAGTAACAGCAAGTGATTTGATGACAGTTTTAGACGCTTTTCTACATCCACAAACACATGATGTACACACCATTTTCTCATTTGCAGCACAGAAAAGATCTACTTATTGTGATAATAGGGTGTAAATCAACCTTACCAAACGGTCTCTTCTTTGGCTCCTGGTCCCGTTGAGAAAACACTTTACTTGCGAGTTTCTGAATGTACGAGTCCTTGGAGGCGAGATCCATGTCAACAAATGAACCGAGCTGTCGGATTTAATCCAGCTAAAACACACACGTGAAGACAGGAGTTTACTGTTCAAAAAATATCAACACATTTCTATACACACGTGGGTCAAAAACAGCGGGGCGGAGCGTCAACGAACCGGAAGTAGTAACATCAGAAACAGTCCCCCTCTGATCGGAAACATGTCAGTTACTCAACTGGCAATTTAGGATTGCAAATACATCTTGCACGTCTCTTCGTGCACTTACGGTACGGGTGCTGGAAGCGGCCAAAATTGATGTGAAAAGACTGAATGAAAAAATGTTTGTACACTCAGTCAAACGGTTATTAATGTGAACATTATAATGAACCAGAAAGTGCAGCTTCTGAAGAAATCGCAGACATTTTCCAAAAGGAAGTCAGCACTTAAATGACCTTAAATTTCCTTAATACATATTTAAAAGCAAACTGTTTGTCATTCAGGAGCCATTGCAAGGAAACCATGTAAGACTATTTACGCATATCATTATAATGTTTGAATAAATAATAACGGATTCATGGGGTAGGGATACTTTTTTCACTCAGTCTGTATACATCCATTTTGGCTGATCCCAGCACTTGTACCGTAAATGCACGAGGAAACGCACAAGAAGATCCGGCTGTTAGCTCTTCATGGATTTAACCACCGTAGCTGGTCTGTAGTCGGTTGTCTCATACAGTTTTACCGGCTGTTTCATTAATGTTTTGATACAGCATGGCTTCTCTGAAAATAGTGCTGGCTTATTCCACCAGGGTTCTGTCAACACTGAAAAAACAGGCAAGTCCCATGGTGTAACTTTTCAGATCTGTGTCTTCGCGTCCCAAAGAAAGAGTTGTGTAAGTGTTTTTCATCGCTTCGCACGACCTGCAGGTTTTTACTTCAATTTATTTTGTTTTTAATTGCAGACTAATGTCGTTTACATCAAGAGGACTTTCCTTCTGTCCAGAGTGCCTCTCTTCAGACGTGCAGACGGTAAATATGAGGCTATGCTTATTGGAAATTATGTTACACACAATGACAACACTGGACACCAGCTTATTTGCACTTGTTTCTGAGAACAGATACAAAAATGCTTAGAACATTTAAAGGGATGTTAGCCTACATACACATTAAGTTTTGAAAATCAATGTGATAGTTCAGTTTTTCATTTTTAATAAATTTGCAAAACTTAATTAAATTCTGTTTCCACTTTGTCATTATAGGCTATTGAGTGTAGATTGATGAGAGGACATGAGTTTAAAGCATAAGGCGGTAACATAACAACATGTGAAAAAATAAAGGGGGCTGAATACTTTTTGAATGCATTGTATGTAAATAGGGAGGACAAAAAATTGGTAACAGTGCAGCATCCTCTTTAACTATTCATTGAATTCATTGAATTTACACATTTCTGACAATGTCAACTAAAAGTGAACATTATAGACTTTGTAAAGGTGGAAGCTGTTGGTTTGAAATGCAATAGATTGTAAAGGTGAACTTGATAAAATGGCCACTGAGTGTATATTAACAAAAATAAATCAAGATCTTGTAAAGATTTTCTGATTTGAGAACATATTTAAAATAAATGTAGCAGTGTTTCAGACTGAGCTCTACAAAATGAACAATAATTCATTATTAAGTTTAAACTTTGTCATGTGTGTAACTGTGTATTGTGAATTTCCAGGCAGGTTTGTCAACTTTGGGAGAAAGTCCAGCTCTACAGCAGTGGGAGCAGAGAAGGGAGAAGACTCTTTCCTCAAATGGTTCCTGCTGCTCATCCCTGCCACCACCTTTGGCCTTGGTACATGGCAGGTACATCTTATTTACTTTTAGCCATCACTTTGTTTTTAATAATGCTCGTGTATGTTTGGTTTTTTATTGTTTTTCAATGGACTCGTATACTTCTTTTCTGTGAAGGTGAAACGGCGTCAGTGGAAAATGCAGCTGATAGATGATCTGACAAAACTCACTAATGCAGAACCCATTCCTCTTCCTCTTGAGTAAGTACACAGTAGACCTCAGAGCTGCAACGATCAATGTATCAATCCACTGAAAAAAAATGAATCAGAAACTATTTGACAATCTACTAATCTTTTGAGTATTATTCTCTGGTTCTTGTGCTCTAGGATATTTGATGGAAAATATTTTCTCTGTTTTTGGATGTTCTATACACCAAACGATTTATAGATTAAATGGGAAAATAGTTGGCAGATTAATCAGTAATGATAACAATCATTAGTTGCAGCCCCAGCAGACATATGTAACATTCTCCTCATACACACTCTGGATCAAACAGCAGTTCATACTGACACTGACTGTTCACAGCAGTTCACTATATGCAGCTATAGCATCTCCTGCTTTATGAGAGACTGAAGCAGATGATGCACTTTACAAGAAACATGCAAGTTGTTTTTATAAGAAATCAAGTGCTATTGCTAAATATAAAGTATTCGGTAATTTGGTTTTATTATGGATTGACCTACTAAGGTCAAAAATTGAGTTTTATATGAGAACATATTAGAGTAACCTGGAGCAATATACTCAATGTGGTTTTCAATGTGCACAAAAATTGTCATTTTTCTCCCTGGATCCTAGTCCTCAAGAGCTGAATAACCTCGAGTACAGGAGGGTGAGGGTGCGTGGACAGTATGACCACTCCAAGGAGCTGTATATTCTGCCCCGCTCCCCAGTGGACCCAGAGAAAGAGGCCAGAGAGGCAGGACAGCTGTCTTCAAGTGGAGAGACCGGCGCTAATGTCATCACCCCTTTCCACTGTACTGACCTCGGGTAACAAGCAAGATAAAACATCACTGGGTTAATCCTGTAATTGTAATAGTAACTGCATAGAGATCTTAACGCTATATTCAACTGTGACTGATCTCGGCTACGTTCACCGGCAGCATCACAATCCTGGTGAACAGAGGATACGTCCCAAGGCAGAAGATAAGACCAGAGACCAGGATGAAAGGACAGGTTTGTATTTCAGATGATGTGTTTTTTTTTGGACATAACTGCAAACACATTTTATTCTTGATTCTAACTGATTGACGCTGCTCATGTGATGAGTGTAGTGTCAGTGTATTAGTGGTGCTGCGACTTCGTAATGTCTCAGCTCACAAAAACATTTTATATGACAGGAAACAGTGTTGCCACAAGCTTCTCAGTCACACTCAAATTCTGTTTCTTTGTAGACTGTCTACATGTATTTAACATAGTGTAATGATGCATCTGTGCAGGTGGAAGGTGAGGTGGAAGTGGTCGGGGTCGTCAGGCTGACAGAGATTCGAAAACCCTTTGTTCCAAACAATGACGTGGAGAGAAACCGCTGGCATTATCGAGACCTGGAGGCCATGTCAAGTGTGACTGGAGCTGAGCCCGTCTTCATTGACGCCGACTTCGGTAAAGTCTCGTTAACAACAAAGCCCATGATGCTCTTTTATTCAACTACATCATACAGTAATCGGTTTCAGGTTAAATATTCAATATTTACCCTACCTTGTATAAATGAAGATTATGTGGCATTATGGTGAATGTAAATGTGTCACCTGCAGGGAGCACCATCCCTGGTGGACCAATAGGTGGACAAACCAGAGTCACACTGAGGAATGAGCACATGCAGTACATAGTTACATGGTGGGTGGATGCTTTACCTTTGCATTAACTACACTTGTCTGCTGTTATATACTGTAAATAACTCTGTAAATGTCCATTACTAAATTGATTTTTTCTTTTTAAAAAGGTATGGCCTGTGTGCAGCAACTTCCTACATGTGGTATGCCAAGTTCATCAAGAGGATTAAAGTGTGACATGATTAAATGCAGTGAAATTACACATGGATACTGTGTGAAGTGTTGCATTGCAGTCCTGTGATGTAATTTGTACTTTATCCGCTCCAGCTCGCTGCATACATTCACTGACAAATATGTAAATAGCTGTGGATTATTCTCCTGAAACATGTATGCAAGAATAAATTAATATTAAATTAATTTTTGCATTCTTCTTTTTATACATTGCTAACTGCTGTTCCATAAACTGAATGGGACCATGTAGATTTAAGCCAATTGGTCTAAAACCTAACAGATGAGAAACCTACAATATGTTAAGCTTGAGGCGCTACGTTCAATAAAATTCATCAGGATGTACCAACTCAGATTCAGTCATTAGGTCACTGAACTGATTGACTCAAGTGTGATTTGATAACATTGATTTGAGTGAATTCCCAGCTCTGCAGAAAAGGGTTTACAGACTAATTGTCCCATTAGTTCAACATCTGATTGTTTTGTCAAGTTGGAAACCATCCAGCATAGTGCCTTGGCCACAAGTTGCTTCTTTGTAAAATTTAATTTAGATAACCCCATCAGTAGATTAATTGCCATTTTAGTCTGATCTGATCACTCACTGCCAAGGGATCAACTTACAACCCATAGACCACACCTGAGTATTGTTACATATTTACTTTTCATCCCAGTTTATATATAAATGCTGAAGTATATTTTCCTGACATGACTGTTGAAAATGAATAAACTACAGGTACAACTTGGTTCTGAAACACCGTATATTTTAGTTGTTACAATAAAAAACAAACACACTATTAGGACATACAATTTTTTTTATTCCAAACAATTCAACCAAGCTTGGTTGCCAATTCCTTGGCCTTAGCCTTCTCCAGCTTAGTGATACGGGCTGTGGACTTGGGGCCCATGATGTTGCCTCCCCAGTGACGACGGATCTGAAACACAAAAGTTAAAGAGGATTACAATGGTGCAATTTGGTCTCTAATAAGGGTAATTCATTTCAACTTGTGGAGATTCTACTGTTTGCCAAATAAAGAATGCTTACCTCCTCATATCTGTCATTGTAGTTGGTCTTGATGGCTTCCACAAGCTTGGCAAGTGCACCTTTGTCCTCACTAGGAAAGAAAGAAAGAAAGAAACATTACTGACCACTATTAAGGAGATGGCACTGCTTTACTGATTCAATACTGAAGGACAATGCAGATAAATGTACTTGAATATTTATTGGTTTCAAAAAGAGCATAACTTTCCCATGTCCTAATCCTCCAATTTGGTGTTACTACTACTTGAATAATTCATCTTAACCCTTTGCTTACAGCATCATGGCTGAAGTTCCCTAATATGTATTTCAGTGACAGATGGATGTAAATCAAAGAACCAGGAACCACTGCTGAAGAAAACTATCCTTTAAAACACCAACTCTACAGAGACAATTTCATGTGAACTAAAAAATGTTGCAACTCTAGACTAACAGTTTTAACCAGTCATATTAGGTGGCTACTAGTCAAGAAACTGGACAATTCTCATCCTATGTCACTTGTGCAGGACGCATCTCAGTCATGTGCATACTTACGGGTTAATCTGTGTGAAGGCAACTGAAGTGCATGTCTTTCTGTGCACCAGTCTGCCCAGTCTAGCCTTGCCCTTGACAATGCAGTATGGGACGCCCATCTTGCGGCACAGAGCTGGCAGGAAGACGACGAGCTACAGAAGCAGGAGAACCAGAGAAAACATTACTATTTCAGGAATGGATTCAAATCAAGATAATCTTAGAAAAAAAAAAAAAAACTTCAATCTGACCAAGAACTGTAAATATAGTAATCGAAACATGTTCTTGGGTTTATGGTCACTGCTCAGGGTTAAAAAGCTCGTATGTTTGATCAACACAGAGGATTCAGGTGAAGAAATTCAGACATCATTGCTAGTGACCACTTTCTACACTATAAAACAAGTTCCACTGCAGCCAAAATAATGTGCCACAAACTTACCTCAATTGGATCCACATCGTGGGCAATGATGACCAGCTGGGCCTTCTTGCTCTCCACCAGGGAGGTGACAGTGTTCACACCTGTGAGCAAGGGATAAATGAAACTTAACATCTCCTCAGCAAACTCCATGCACAGAAATGATTTATTGTTTTGGCCAATGCTCAGGGTTAAAAAGCTCAATAACCATCAAGGTATGTTTCAGGTGAAGAAATTCAGGTCATCAATGCATCAAGGCCAAGTTAGATAAAACTGCACTAGTAGTTTCATAGGACAGAAATCAGTACATAATGATAAACACCTAGGATGTCCATCAACACAACCCAACAAAGGCAGCTTCATCTAAGATGAAGCTACTGTCTAAATGAGGGTTTTGGTGGGAGCCTTACCTGCACGGAGGACAGGGGGCCTCTTGGTGGGGGTATCTCCCTTTCCAGCGGCCTTCTGCTCAGCGCGGGCCAGCAGCCTCTGCCTCTTCTCCTGCTTGGTCTCTGGCCTGTACTTGTGGGCCAGCTTGAACAGCTGTGTGGCTGAGAATGAAGAAAGCACATTACAATTCACATTCAACCACCTCAAGTGACTACAAGTACTTAGATCCAAAAAAGTATTTCATGTAGCTGCATCAGTGATCTTGGTGGAAAATGTCAGCATTGCTGTTAAGATAGCAAATATTACTCACATCATTTGCAAAGCGACATTGGTATCGTTAAGGACCCCAATAAGTCATCTATGAAATACAGCATGACAAAACTAGCACCTAGATGCTACTCTTATTGCCAAAACCTTACCAGTCTGGCGGTCCAGAGCCTGGGTGAACTGGTTGATTGCAGGGGGAACCTTCAGACGCTTGTAGAGGATGGAGCGCTGCCTCTGCAGGCGGATATAACGAGGCCATTTCACAAAGCGTGTCAAATCACGCTTGGGCTGAATATCCTGGCCTGTGGTGAAAGACAAAAAATGTTAACTATCTAATATCAAAATGAGGAAGGTCTATTTTTTAATGTATGTGCATCAGCGATCTTGGTGGGGTTGTCTTCAGTGTTCTTAAGATAGCAAATATTCATTTACATCATCTGCACCATTACAGTCCACAACTCTTGCAAAATGCCACCCAGGGGCTACTCACCGATGCCAAAGTTCTTTGGCCTCTTCTCGAACAGGGGGTTGACTACTTTCTTGGCCTCATGTTTCTTGGCCACAGAAGGGGCAGGTGCCACCTTCTTCCCCTTAGCCTTCTTTCCCTTAGGCTGTCAAAAAGAAAATAATGTTAGAACACATTGAAAGTCATTGAAAGTTCTGTAATAAAAATGATTTAAGACTCCACAAGTTAAAAGCCTATCTTATTACGGCTGTGCCTTAAAGCTCAGATGACCATTACCAAGACAACAGTTTAATGCATTACTCATGTAGGATTAAGACAAACATGTACATTTCACATAAATACTGCTTCCACTATCCCAAAACTCCAGCATGTGTTAACTTTAGCATCCATCACTTGGCATGCAAGTTAACCTCCTCCTAGTCAATTACTTTCTAAAAACTATTTCCGAAGTATACCACACAAGGGTTTGAAGAAACGTTGGTTTTCAACACTGTAAAGGCAAAAACTTAAGAGTGACGCTCAAACGCATTAGCGAATAATGCTAGTCCCACGCTGGTGGGTCTATGCTGCTGCGACAGATATGCCATACAAACCAGGCTAATAACGGCGCAAGAACCCTAGCTATTACCACTGTATTGGTGTTATTAACAAACCAAGACATATGTCAAGTAGGAAGTTACCAAACACCACAAACGTGGATCACACCCGAGCTATGGCTGCTAAGTATAACATCTCTACAAACAGAGGCAGTGCCCAGGCCCATTCACCTAACACTACCGGGTAAACCAACCGGACACACATTTATATCCTGCCAAGTAACGATACGTGTAATGTTAAACTTCCAATAGCCATAATATTAAATTTTGCTAACATGTAACCACAAACATAGTTCACATACATACGGGAAGTATATAATATTAAGAGTAAAACTGCTCCTGAAATCAAGCGTGTTCCCCCACGTTAGCTTTAGCTTCATACAGGGGCTACTCGTACCGGTTACACTTGCATCGGTTTCACCAAGTTTTAACCAAAAATACCACAATATCGGCGCACAATATCGAAATTATATCCACGGACAGACTTCACAGAACTTATATATACATTTTAAAATATAAAACGAGGCATACAGACAAAGATGCAAACAGATACAACAGCTTGGATTATTCCTCAGAAGAAGCGACTATGCACCCACCATGTCGGTTCAGGCAGAAAGGAAGACCGTTGGATTCTGGGTAGCGTAAATACCGCGAGGCTTGCAGCGTGGTTACGTGGCCTCTCGGGCACCGATCTGGAGTCGGATTTCAAAGCGGCTTGACTGCTCCAGCTTCGTAGTTCAAAAATTCAGACACTGACTCAGGGTCAGTGTTACAATGCAAATACAAAGTCTTAACAAGCTTTTCTACGTCACATAATGGGACAGTAGAGATTTTTTTTTTTTAATTTATTTATTGAAGGTGAACATTTACAAACACCAGGGCATAGAAACAACAACAATAAACACTACATAATATACAAGGTACGTTGGATAGAAGGGGTAACTTAAATTATACGTATTAATATGATATGATATGATATGATATTAAATAATAGTAATCACTACATTGATCATATTTGGTTATTACTCACATAACAACCTAATTATAATATAATTGTCCCGAGGAAATATTAGAGTAGCATTTAATATATTTGAATTATTCCGAGACAATTTCTATTTATCATATTTAGTCTTACTTACAACAGTTTGAAACTATAGGTACCAGAAAATTATTTTCCCTGTGATGTTTATAACATATTTTGATTGTAATTTAACTATAATTTTGTTATTATTCATATTAGCATATCCTGTCCGGTATGGCAATATGTATAATATATAGTGATATATATAATGTATACATAATAAAATAGTCTTTTGAGCTCTTGTTAATAATAATAATAATATATTTTTTTGTGTGTACTGTAAATCTAAAATCCTTCAACCTGGTCATGTTGCAATTATGTCCGATTATTTCTCGGCAGGCTGCCCAGATTTTAAACCTGGACAGATGTGATTGTGCACAGCTGTCCTTCGCACTGTGGCGTGGGGGAGCCATTTAACCGACGCACACGTACGTCACTTCCGTAAACATCTATCTATCTATCTATCTATCTATCTATCTATCTATCTATCTATCTATCTATCTATCTATCTATCTATCTATCTATCTATCTATCTATCTAATAAGAAAGGAGGTTTCATGTGTGAAAGGCGAGTGGATCAGTGGGTCTGACGTTGCCGTGTTGCCTCCTCCAGCTCTGCGTCGTGCCGCGCCGGGGCCGTGCTGTGTGTACGGGAGGGGGAGTTGTTTGGGGATGGTGGGCCGGGGTATCGCGTCTCTCGGCTCGGCTCCTCTGTAGCTTGCTAGCATACGATCCGCATCCACTATGGATTGTTTACGAGAGGAATGAAAAATTAGCGCTTATCGCCGTGACAGCTGCTTCTTTTGTTAAATACGACTCATTCACAACAGCTGTTGGCATCGCTGCAGTGAGATGATTTCTGGGCTTTCGTTGGTAAACATAAGGCCTTTCACTTCGCAGATGTGTCAGATTCTGGGGGTAAATCTTGTGAGAAGATGTCTGAAACGATACTATAGATGTCCAGCTTATGTTTGAGTTGTCAGTTAGCGATAACGTGCATGTGATTTCTATGGCTGCAGATCGTGTTTTCGTGTTGACATCACAAGGATAGCTTAGCTACATCACATTGTCATCTAGAATTACCACAGTATTGTTATTACTGCCCTGTCAAATTAGCAGACGTCCCCCTGAAGAAAGAGAGTAGCTATGGCTGAACAAGACATTTGTCCCCACCTGGACTCCATAGGACAGGTAACCAAAGAGGACCTCCTCCAGAAATCCAAGGTGGGTTTTCATTCATTTACAACAAAATGTTGTGCACAATGTCAATGCCATGGCCCACACACCCCTCAAGGCTGTTGTATATGATATGATTGATGTAGCTGCCTTTTGTCCATCAGTCCTCACTGTCATAATTACCATATGAGCTGGAGTAAATGGAAGCTTTATTATGTTGTCTTTGTTTAAGATCCTACAATGACAAGCATCCTGGTGTGTGAGTGACCACAGTGTGTGTGTGTGTGTGTGTGTGTGTGTGTGTGTGTGTGTGTGTGTGTGTGTGTGTGTGTGTGTGTGCACATGGTTTAACCATCATGTTCTATTCTTTTCTATCCATGTTCCCCTCCTGTTGCTGCAGGGAACTTGCCAGTCCTGTGGAGCAGGTGGCCCAAACCTGTGGGCCTGTCTGCAGGTAAAGTCCAGTCCTTCTCTAAATGTTTTGAATTTTGGTCATTTGAAAGGTTATTTCTGGTTTGTCACATAAATGGTGACTACTGCAAATCATTTGAGATGAGAAAGCCAGGTGAATGCTTAATAATTAATAATGATGTAGGACATAAATGTAATTAGAAAATGCAACTGCTCAGGCAAGTGGGAGAGCAATTACAGCTATGATTTCATATTCTAAATGACATTTGACATTGTAGCGTTACATTTATTCATACATGACAACTGATATAGATAGACAATTCGGATATTATGTCGTTACAAGATAAAAAAGAGGATTCAAAAGCCATGACATCCAAATCTAATATAATGTTCCTTCTCTGTAGAATGATTGCCCGTATGTTGGTTGCGGAGAGTCCTACTCTGATCACAGCACCCTGCATGCACAGGTAAAACCCTGCAAACACCTGCCAGCTTTTGTTCTGCTTGTCAATATGTCAAAGTAATCATTTCAAGAGTCCACTAAATGATTCTGTGTGTGTGTGTGTGTGTGCATGTGCGTGTGCGTGTACATGTGATAGGCTAAGAAGCACAACCTGACCGTAAACCTGACAACGTTCAGGATCTGGTGTTATGTGTGTGAGCGGGAGGTGTTTCTGGAGCACAGGCCTGCCCTGGTGCCTGTACCTGCCGCTCCCCATCACTGTAAAGCTGCAGAGCAGGTACGACTTCAACACCCCAAGGTCACATCTCCTCATTGATTTCTGGCCCTTCCTGCTTGATGGATTTACATGGAACAAAAAAAAAAAAAAAAAAAAAACTATAAGGGCAAGTGATGCTATTTCAAATCCACACAACCTGTTTCTTACTCAGTCTCATATTTATAGTATCTCTTAATGATTTTCCTAGGAAGTGGCTCCTCAGCCAGTAGGTCACCCTCTGAAAGCAGTACCAATTGCTGTGGCAGAAGAAGAAGGTTCAGAGTCAGAGGAGGATGAGCTGAAACCCAGAGGTACACATTTCTTCTTTTAAACAACAGTCCACTTGAAGCTTCTCAACTCATCTGACTCATTTGTGACTTATTTGTTATTAACAGGACAAACAAATCTCAAGAAAAGAAAACTCTTTAAGAATCACCTGCAAAAATCTTTTCTCAGATTATTAAAACCGTTGGATTTCTATTAGGTCATAGCTGCCATATTTAATAGATTTATTGCTTTGAATCCTATAGTTACCTGCCCGTTTTCTTTTAATCCAGACTAGATGTGAATATCAACCCTTGGTGGTGTGTCCCCTCAGTTTGACTTGTTCTAAGAATCTGAGGTTAATCTCTACATTGCTCAGTTTGAACACTTTGCCACTCTCTGGGAAGATAGAAATCTACATGCCTCCTGTTTCCACTGTTGTTCGTAGGCTTGACAGGAATGAAAAATATTGGAAATTCTTGCTACATGAATGCAGCTCTTCAAGCCCTGTCCAACTGGTAAGGTCACTTCCTCTGATTACGTCTGGCCATTTATCAGGGGTGTGGGTCTTTTCGCTGTTTATGAATGTGTTATTGTTTAATAATGTTTATTAACTTGATGCATTTTTTCCTCTCTTTTCTCACCAGTCCTCCTCTCACTCAGTTCTTCCTGGACTGCAGTGGATTAGTGCGGACCGATAAGAAGCCTGCTCTCTGCAAGAGCTACCAGAAACTCATCTCAGAACTCTGGCATAAAAAACGGTAATAAATGCTTTAAATGTCAGAGCTACATCTTAACATTTTGCATTCAACTAGGCTGTTATCTGCTAATCAATCTTGGATATGGGATTATCTTTAATATAACATCTCTCACGGCTGCTACCCTCTCAGGCCCAGCTATGTTGTCCCTACCAGTCTGTCTCATGGCATCAAACTAGTAAACCCCATGTTTCGTGGTTACGCTCAGCAGGTAGGGGCAAGCACCCAGCAGGTAACTACACCTGGCATCACTCAACAGCTTGACACTGTCTTGTCTTTTGTTTTTAAACCCTGTGTTCTCACACATTCCCTAAAATGAATTTAATTTTTTTTTTTTTAAATTAACAATTACATTTGTTCTTAATACCCAAAGGTCTGACTTGAGTTTTTGACTTGTTTGCATATTTGAATGGATGGCTGAATCAGTTTTGGGTGAATTTTTATTATTTTCTTTAAATCTTCAGAACCAGACAAAGTCATAGACGCCTTTATGTCTCTCTGGTGACGGCAGCATGAGAGGAGCTGAAGGAAAGGATTGATATAAATCTAATTTCTTTGTCATTAATGACATTAATGTCTTTATAATATCCTAAACTTCAATGTGTACTTATGTTAGTCCTGCCAACCCTCATAGAGAGGTTTAATAATGTATCTCCTCAAAGAATTTGTGCACTGTTGCAGAGAAGCAATTAGCTTAGCTTAGCGTAAAGACTGGAAGCAGGGGAAAACAGCTATCCACAACTTGTCATTTTTTACACTCCAGTTTTTGTACAGATTAAACAAACATGGTATCAGGAGTTAATTAGTGAGCTTTAAAGATGCTGGTCAGCAGATACTTTTACCTTTTAACATTTTTACCTAAGCCGGTTGCCCCTGTTTCCAGTCTTTACACTATGCTAAGCTAACCGTCTCCTCGCTGTAGCTTCATATTTGGCATACAGATATAAAAGTGGCATCAATCGTTTCAACCACCTCTCTGCAAGGAAGGGAATAAGTGTATTTCCCAAAACATTGAATTATTTGTTTAAATGAAAGAGAGGCCACTTGATTCGATAGACACCCACCACCTGAGCTAAGACAGGCCAGACCAAGGCTAAGTAATATCTTCAAACTGTGTCAAACTGCACTCATTCAGAATGCTATCATTTGACCTTGACTCTGGGTAAGTAAGAAAAATAGTAAAATGAACCCCAACACTGAATTATCCCTTGAAATACACTGATTTTTTAAAATATAATTATGATTTAGGCAAAGTGCATGTTTTATCAGAAGTGTCTTCTCTGGTTTTGTTTGATTGTGATTGCAACAGAGTTGGAAGTGTAAAGAGGTTTTAGACAGTAATGGGTTTGTAGTGGGTGTATCACCTTGTATCGCCTCTTACCAATGCACAAAATGCTTTGTTGTTACAGACAAGACAAACACCATTATTTACATATTTGTCTTTCCATCTCCTTGTTTTGAAATAGTCAAGTTTACAGACATTTATCTGTTACCCATTTACATAAATCCAACTTCTCTGCAAAACTCCTGTCTCTGTGTATATATCCATATTATACAGCCTCCATTTGACTTAATGCAATGTGCTTTTCTTGGTACAGGACACTCAGGAGTTCCTGCGCTGTCTGATGGACCAGCTACACGAGGAGCTGAAGGAGCCTCTGACAGAGTGCAGCATGAGCGGGGAGGGAAGTGACGGTGAGGAGAGAAGAGATGGCGACCGCTCCCCGTCTGAGGATGAATTCCTGTCCTGCGACTCTGGCTCCAGCAGTGACAGAGGGGAGGGAGGAGGTGCGGGTGACGGCGAGCTGCTCGTGCAGGACGAGTGTGACGGGGTCAGGTCGCCGGCGGTGGGGATGGTGGGTGTCAGTCCCGGCGGGGTGATCTCGGAGAAGGAGAGGCTCAAGGAGCGAAGGGTGTCTGGCTCGTCCCTCCGCGGAGGCTCGCAAGAGATGGATGAGGACGCCGATGTGGACACAGCGGCTGAGGAGGAGGCTCCTGAGAGGGGAGAGGAAGAGGAGCTGACGCCAACTCCAAACACTGAAGTCCAAAACCAGGAGAACAACCAGACATCTAATCCTGTGCAAGGGCAAGGCCAGAGCAGCAACACCTCAGGTATGAGTGCGATTATAAACCTACTTTCTCAGACACACATTTACAAAGCCACGTATCATATTCATATGACAATCTCTTTTCTAGAGCCAGACAATGAAGCATCAATGACCCAGCCCCAGTCCACTCCCTGCAGTCCTGTGCGAACCCTTCAGGAGCTGCATCCCAAACTGTCCTCCAGTCCGCCTCGCTCCAGCCCGCTTCGCTCTGCAGGACCCGCCTACTCCTTCAAAAAAGGTGAGGAAACGTCACAGGGGTTTGATAGATGAAAGTCAGACATGAGAGGTTTGTTGGAGTTACATCCACAAAGAATTTAAGGTGCGTTTTGAATTTGATGTCTCTCCTGGTCCCCCCTGTCTGCCTGTCGCTCGCTCTACCACTTTGGTCCAGACTAAAATATCTCAAAAAATGTTGGCACAGACATGAATGATTCCCAGAGGATATATCCTACTGATCCCCTGACTCTTCCACCAGCCACCATGAGGCTGAGATTGTGGTTTTGAACTTCTATCCGGTGCATGTCAAATCCCCATCTCTCCACGTTCTCCATGTCAAACAATAACATTACGCTTGCCCTCTAAAATCCTCCTTGCTGTCACGTGTCTTCCAGCTCAGCTGCTGCTCAGTGCCAGGAAGAAGAAACAATCTCACTATCGCAGTGTGATCTCCGACATCTTCGACGGCTCCATCCTCAGTCTGGTCCAGTGTTTAACCTGTGACAGGGTGAGCTGTGCTTCTCATGTTTAAACACCAGGGGAAGCTACTGACACATTCAGTCAGAAACCACAGTATATTACTTCATTAATAACATTATCTTCTTTGTGTGGTATTTAGAAGAAAATATCGCATGTGTAATTATTTCATTTCATTATTAAAAAGAATATTTAACATGATTAGAATTAGAATAGAGTGAAAATCATTTTATTTCTATCTTTCACATATGTGTGTATTATTGTCTTTCTAAAACACGGATGCTCAGTGATTTATTAATCCAAAATCACTCATCGACCACATGCTAATTTGTTTAGATTAGAATTTGTTTGTTGCACAACTATGTTACAGATGATATTCAGTTTTACTCCTGATTATGAAATGCTGTGCAAACCAATTCTCTGAATGTGTGGCAGGTCTCTAATACAGTAGAAACCTTCCAAGACTTGTCCCTCCCTATTCCCGGTAAGGAGGACTTGGCCAAGCTCCACTCCTCCATCCATCAAAACCTTCCAGTCAAGACCGGCGTGTGTCCTGACACCTACGGCTCGCAGGGCTGGATCTCCTACATCATGGACTCCATACGCCGGTCAGTGGACCATGTTTAACTGTTACAGTCCAGGAAGACTTCAGTGTGCTCTCAAGAAAACACATGAATTCAGGAGAATCTAATTATGTACGAAAATGCTGATTTCATCGCTGCTATTTAATCAGGCGAGTTAAGTTGACTTAACACTGATCTTAACACAGGTTCTGAACCGGTACAGAGTAGGGTTCTGACAGAGAAACCAGGCAAGTGGAATCTTGACTTACTCCTTGTAAGGTTGTCTTTGTTTGTGGAGACCACTGAAGCTGCCACAGATGATTCATGTGAGGGCATGTACGTCAGGGCAACGGATGTGTCCCTGATTTGTTTGCTGCATCTTTCCTGGATTCGGCAAATGAAGGTATCATGTCAGATATCTTTTTGGAAATCAGCCTTCAATCTAATCTGGATTTGATCTAGTCTCTGACTTGTGTTGTAAGGTGAAGCAGCATATTGTGCATGTCAGCACTTTGCTATTCAGAGGAAGTAGAGAGATGTCAGAACTGGTTGTCTTTAATTATGCATCAACTTCCTTAAATACAGGAATAATTGTATTTTGTATTACCAGAGAAATGGACTCTATATGCACATACCAGACCTGCATCACGAAATGAAATGAAAAGCTGATTGTGTGTGATTCAGCGATGCAGTGAGAGGGCCAGGATGACATCTGGGAGTCAGTCCAGGACTGATTGGTTGGAGAGATTATGTAGACTGAATGCTTGATCCAGAGCTCCTGGACAAGATTTGAATGCTGAGTCATCAGATGACCCGACGGGAGTGAGGCTGCATTTTTAAAAGCTTGAAGAGGCCTTTAATAGGAGAGTAGAAAGTGTAGTTATTGTCTGTGCAAGTGACATTTTCTTAGATACCTCTGATTTTCTAGGTGAACTGATTTCTAAGGAGAATCAGTTCCTTTACCTGCTGCATCTGCACATACCTGGACAGTGTCACCTGCGTTTATCATTTTAGATAACACGACACAGATGCAGAAACAAGCGTCGGCATGCCATGTGCTCATATTCCAGCAGTTCCTGAATGTCAAAAGCATCATCATCGTAACAGTGCACACAATGTGGGCTGTTTATGAACATGGTCTTTAATGTCCACCTTGGACTTTATAGCTGCTCTAATCAATAATTTTATATTTACAATACATACAATGACTATGTGTAATGTGAAAGAAGTCGCTCTTATTGACGAACCTACAGAGAATTATTACCAGACCCATATGAATGTCATTTTTGTCGGTATGATCACTGTCAGGATACAGACTGAGGTGGCCCTGTGGCTGTATGTTGTTGCAATGATTACATCTGTGTGAACAGGTTCGTAGTCTCGTGTATCCCCAGTTGGTTTTGGGGGCCCATGGTAACGCTAGAGGACTGCCTCGCTGCCTTCTTTGCTGCAGATGAACTCAAAGGTAAACACCACTATAACGTGCTTTTTCTCCCATAATATGTTGCTAATTTTTAAATGGTCCAGTGCAGATGAGGAAAATTTATGTTGGAATTTACACTTATGTTGTGTCTTTTCTCAGGGGACAACATGTACAGTTGTGAGAGATGTAAAAAGTGAGTGTGTAACATCAATCCACATTGAGACATTTATCTTAAACTCGGATATTTTTCCTTTTCATTTATTTATTTACACTGAATTTTGTTCTCTACAGGTTGAGAAATGGTGTCAAATATTGCAAAGTGCTTCGACTTCCAGAGGTACATGGTGTTTTTCTTTCGTTTTTTTTTTAAATCAGATCTTTATCTTGCTGCAGATGTTTTGCTTCGCTTGATCTGCCTCACAAAGTGTTCTTGACAGTTTTTTCTTCCTGCATTTTTGTGTGCAGATTTTGTGCATTCACCTCAAACGTTTCCGGCACGAGGTCATGTATTCGTTCAAGATTAGCAGCCACGTATCTTTCCCGTTGGAGGGCCTTGACATGCGACCTTTCCTGGCTAAAGAGAGTCCATCCCAAGTCACCACATATGATCTGCTGTCAGTCATCTGTCACCATGGCACTGCAGGAAGTATGAGTAGCCTCATTTCCTCCAGATAAGGGCATTTCAGATGTTACTTCTTACAGGGTTCATCAGAGGATAAGCAAATGTGTACCTTATATGCTTCTCTTTCACCCTTTTTCTGGTGCAGGTGGACACTACATAGCTTACTGTCAGAACGTTATCAATGGCCAGTGGTATGAGTTCGATGATCAGTACGTCACCGAAGTCCATGAGACGGTGGTGCAGAACGCAGAGGCCTATGTGCTGTTTTATAGGTGAGCATGTGAGGACCCTGAAGCGTCAAACATTCATCCTGAGTCTGATTTATGATTCATTTTTCTTGGGCTTGCGCAGGAAAAGCAGTGAGGAGTCAGTGAGAGAGAGGCAGAAGGTGGTGGCTCTGGCCAATATGAAAGAGCCCAGCCTGCTGCAGTTTTACATCTCCAGAGAATGGCTCAACAAGTTCAACACCTTCGCCGAGCCAGGCCCCATCAGCAACCACACGTTTCTTTGTCAGCACGGAGGTGTGTGTGGTCTTTTTGTTTAAAATCTTAACGGTACGCTTTTTTGTCGCCACAATCCTGCCTCTCCGCACTGAGAAAACAAATGCATTCTTCCTTAAAAGGAAACTATAAAGCTCAGTTTGCTCGTCACAGGGATGACTACTCATTTGTGAAAACAGTTGTATAACAGCCACAGTCATTTTATTTTCCCTTGGAGGCCACAAATTTATGACCAGAAGCTTGTATCACCAACAATCATAAAGCAAGTTCTTGTAATCAGTTACTCACTCAAACAGTAATTCATTTACTTAACAAATTATGCAATAGCAAATGAAAGGTGCCATGACACAACTGCTAAGTTTCCTCACCTTGACATCACAGAATAGAAAACAAAGGAGATGTGTTTTAACAAGCAGTCCACCTACGATTAGAAAGTATTTACTTCTAGACATCCCACACCTCCTGCTCTTGCGCCAAGCTAATGTGTCCTGCAAGAGTAGAAACTGACATCAGTCCTCCATCAACCCGAGTAAGAGAGGAAACAGTTCCACTCCCAAACTGTCGAGGTAATGGAGTGTAAGTTTGGATAGTGTGTTACCTGACTCTAATTCCTAGCACTACTTATGACTGAAAAAAGTAGTTCCATAAAACTGTAAATGAAGGGTGTGGAGTTGGAAAGATGTGGGTATGGAGATTCTTGTGAAACGATAACATTAAGTTGCATTGTGAAATTTGTATTTGTGCATTGTGTGGGAAATGTCGGCTCCATTGTTTTTAGAACTTGACCCATATCAAGGATCTAAAAATCTTTTTTTCAGTCCGCCTCAAGTTGGTCCCCCAACTTTATGGAAATCCAGTACTAAATCACTGAAGCACCCTTTTAAAAACAGCCTTAAAAAAATTGCAAGGTTTCAAAAACAGTTTTAGCACAGAACCGTACATTTAAGTCACCCACAGCTCCACAAATCCTGCTGTTATCTGAGCGGTGCTGAAGGGAGGCCGCTGGCATCTCTCGACGTTTCAGCTTCCAAGACTGATAATTGTTGTTCTCAAGCCAAAAAACAAATCACAAATCTGTGTTATTCCCATAATATTCCAAATCAAAACAATTTCTTAATTGGATGTTTTTAACGGATTTGTATCATAGTTGGCTGGTTTATATGTATTCATTAGAAAAACATGGCTTTGAGATACAGGCTTTCGAGGACAGCAGGGATGAGGGTGGGGATTCTGTGTAGGAGATGTAAAAATACTTTTTTGCATTAGCATTCTGTCTGGTTTCCATTACGGGCTACAATAAGTCGTAGATTCATCCTTTAACGCTTGACATGTTTTATCTCTGTGCAGGGATCCCTCCTAACAAATACCACTACATAGACGACCTGGTTGTGATAGTTCCACAGAATGTGTGGGAGTACCTTTACAACAGGTAAACATGCAAAACACTACCATTTTTGGGGAATGACAGAATGCCTGAAGGCGTTTAGTTCGAAAGTTGTATATTTGTACAAAACCAAACAACACATCTTAGTGTTGTTTGTCTTTTTCTGATTCATCAATTTTCCATTGCCTGAAATGAGGGTGTTCTGTGTAAGATATGTCATTTAATATTTTACATTTGACTTTATTGCATTTATATAAAATAGAGAGAAACGTGGATGTTTGGAATAGCACATTCATTCTTTTTTTACTTATTTATTCATCCTTTGACCCACTTGTATACCACTGGTTATGTGTTCAAGTTCTCTGGTTGATATGAGAAACCCTTTTTATCAACTTCCTCTTGATAATTCAGTTAGCTTGTGTGGGAGTTTGTCGTTGACTCTGATATCCCCACCCTGATGCCACAGATTATGAGTGAACCTGTGTTAACAGAAAGGAAACGATATCAACCACATTTTGTTTGCATTTAACAAATGATTTAAGATGCGTGTCGCTCAATGCGGCTTTAAATTCATTAACGCTGTCTAATTGAGGCTCATAAATCTGCGTTCTCATCTTTTTTTCCCAATACGTTGTGAACATGACTAAAAAATGGCAGCTGGAGAGCAACCAAGTAGGAGTATAGTAAATGTCAAAAAGTATAAATAGTGTATTTTAATTTGATTAATGTGATAATTGTTTGGATCCATCAATCACAGTTCTTCGAGTCAATCTGTCTTTATCTTGTTGTGCCTTTCTGTTAAATGTCTCTGTCCTCAGTTTTGGAGGCGGCCCCGCAGTCAACCACCTGTATATGTGTGCCATCTGCCAGGTGGAGATCGAAGCTCTGGCTAAACGCAGAAAGATGGAAATAGACACCTTCATCAAGGTAAAGGCCTGTATTCTGCACCGGTTCACCTGTGTGTAGATGCAGTATTCTTTTCGGCTCTGTGTTGGATATTGAATGAGCAGTTTTCTTTCCTCTTGTCTGTAGCTGAACAAAGAGTTTCAGGCTGAAGAGGCTCCAACAGTGATCCTGTGCATCAGCATGCAGTGGTTCAGAGAGTGGGAGAGCTTCGTGAAGGGCAAAGACAATGGTATGGAACAGCAGTAAGACAAATACAGCTGTGCATTTAAGTTGTTCATGTTGTGTTCAGTTGTTTGCTGTGATTTGTTTTCTCAGAGCCGCCTGGTCCCATCGACAACAGTAAAATTGGTGTCATGAAAGGAGGGCACATACAACTCAAGCAAGGTAAACATCAGCACCTGTTGAGAAGGACGTTAAGGTGGAAATGAAGAATACAGGCGGTCACTGAGTGTTTTCCCTCCCTCAGGTGCAGACTATGGCCAGATCTCAGAGGAGACATGGCAGTACTTATTGGGTATTTATGGCGGAGGCCCTGAGATTGCAGTGAGACAGACAGTGGCCCCGGCTGACCCCGACAGCCTTCATGGAGAGAGAAAAATCGAGGCAGAGACCAGAGCACTTTGAGATGAAGAGAGGTGGGAATCTTTTCTTACTGGAAAACACTGCTCAGTGGTTGTATAGTGTTCATTCACAGTAATCCCTCATAGGAACGTGCATCCCCCTGCGTATACACAGACTTGCATACAATAATGTATTTGAATATATTTTGCGTAATGTGTAACAATTTACTGGAAGCTGTGGTCTTGGAGCTTGTTGTTGGTCTTGGAACGAGGGTCATTTCCACCCACTTGGCTTACGTCAAACCACATGAGCTCATAAATTCCTTCTGGCCAGCAGAGAGCAAGATATCTACACATCTGGTCAAGAATAATGGACGACATACATCGAGCTAACAAAAAGCTGTAAATTCGATCTTGACAGTTTGAGATGAGGGCCCATTAAAGGTCCGTTTGTTCTCACCCTGTTTCTCAACTTTTATTACCTGCAGGTCTTCTGATTCCCTTTTCCACTTCTGCCCTCACAAGATGCTGAGGAATTTGCACCTTGGTGAAGAAGCCTCGTTGTGAGCACTTTGTAAATGTAGCAACATATTATGCCGAAGCTGTGTCGCAGGAAGCTGAAACGGTACTTAAATATCATGTAGTTTATTTATTGAATAACTCTGATCCTCAGTGTTAAAGTGTAAAAATAAGACGTTGTGTCACATCTCTGGAGCTGTTTTCGGTAGCTATGGTGTTTCAGTGGCTGCTGTAGTGACTAGGTGTCATGTACTGCTAAGCTGGCTGTGGCAGGCAGACGGCTGCTGGTGTCATGCAGCAGAAGGCTGAGGAGAGCAGAACTACAGTGTGATGTTTGGTTTTATGACTTTTCTTCTTCAATGGAAGCGACAACCAAGAAACATTGACAAACATTCTGTTGTATGCCTGTTTAGTAGTTACAAAGTTCAGACATCAAGTGAGAGATAAAACAGAAATCATACTGTGGAACCTCCGACCTTAAGTACGCTTACACTGAGCCCTCAGGAATGGAAGACTTTTGTTGTTTAAGCCAGTGAAATGATTGGATGAATGAACAGCAGCAGGGTTGTTTCAAACCACAAAACATGCATGTGTGGGTTCTTAAAAAAACCATATTCAGGATCAGCTTTAAAATGCATGCATCTACAACTCTTTTTTTTTTTTGGACCAGTGAGGACATTTCCCTGACAGAGTGAGATGCCATTTGTTTGCTCAGAGGATTTATGTGCTCAAAATTGACTCACTCCTATTCAGTTCTAGTGCCAGTACTATCCAGAAAACACTAAGCATACAGGCATGTACATGTAGATATGCGGGTATAATTTTAAACAGAATAGAGAAGTGGTACATTTATGAAAAGACAAACTAATTTATGGTCATGCCAAGAGTGCAGGAGTTAAGTAGGAAGACGATTATGTATCTGGTGCAATAACGGTACATTTGCAAAGGAGTGATAAGAAAATCTTCTGCAACAAAATACCTTAACGGCTTTTTTCTGATAATGGCTCACATAGTAAGTTTGTAATTCTTATGAAACATCACAGTGTGAAGAACCTCCATATAATCACTTCTTAGAAAACTGTAATTCCATATTGACCTATAATGCACTGTCTGTTCAAACCAAGAGAGGGCAGTATTAAATGAGATGATTTTTATTTTTCCACCATGTTACAATTTAACAAGAAAGAAATCATCTCAAATAATAACTAGCACAACATGCACAAAATCAGACAAGTTAAAGCAGTGAGGTCATTTATGATACTATTTCATTGATCAAATACATTCACTTATTTGTACATAATGCCATAATTGTACATGTTGGTTTGTCAGGTGATCAGAAAAATGAAGCTGTACCCTGTGGGAGGGATTGTGTACTAAGAGGCAATTATATTACAGTAAAAATATTTATGCGTCACTGTTGAAGATGCTTTTTAAGATTTTATTTAAAAAAAAATCACCTGTCTTCACTAATTGAGGCACCGTGGTTTGTTTACTCAGATTAGATTCTGCAGTAAAGGTTGAATAGTCACACAGGAAGTGATGACTCAAAATGGGCTCCTATCCACAGCGTTCTGCGTCAAGAAAAACTGATTCAAATCTTGCACTCATCTTGTCTCTTTTTATCTGTTTTATTTCAAACTGATTAGACTGGTAAGCAAATATGTTGTGCAATTGTACAACATTTAAGACAGTTCATACAGCTTCTAACACCAACTCATATTTAGTTAATTGCTGCAATTAAGTTTTAATCATCGATTAGAGATATTACATGTTGTTGTGTAGATTGTACCTTTCCGTGTGCTTTAATATAATAAATGTACTCATAAATACACAGAAATTTTGAAAGCCAAAACTAGGAAAAATTAGATTATTATTTTTCAGCTAAATGAATTTCTTTTCAAATATGACAATTAATTTATACTGTTTATAAAAATAAAAGATAGTATTTGATGAAAAATTATTAATTTATTGTCAATTTACATTCACTGACCTTGCGAGGAAGCTGGTTTTCTCGCAAACAAGGTTGTGTGTACCAAACCATCACATTCACTGTTTGATGGTAAAATCCCATAAGCCATATCACATAAAGTACCAATGCACAGTTAATAAACAGTTTTAAAATCTTTTTGATTATCAGTCAATTTTAACTTAGCAATCATACTTATTTGACTGTCAGAGAAGAATGTCAATCAGTGGGAGATCTACTTGAATAAATAAGCTTCTCAGCTATTACCAGTCTAAACAGCAACAAGACAAGTTAATAAATACAAGTGAGTGACAGTGCAGCGCCTCCAAGTCTATTTATAAACAGATGAGAAGCAAAAACCTGTAGTTTTCAATGCCAAATGTGCTGAACACATCTTTAGATGCCATGTAGTACTCACGTAAGGAAACATTAATCCTTACATTTTGCTTTTTTCTACTGTTTTTTTTTTTAAGCAGCATTAGAGCAATTCAATCTGAAATATAGAAAAACTAATTAAAACCTGAAATTTGAAGAATATGATAATATGATATCTGATGTTCCGCAATACAGTCATCCTATCTTGGAATACAGTGCCTTCAAGCCCTCACACGCCCACAGTGCACCTGCACAGGTGTGTTTTTTTTTTTTTTTTTACATATTTTGCCCAATTTCGACTGTGTGGGCATGTACAGACAACACTTGATTGACCGCTCCCTCACTCTACTGTTAGTATGGTAAAGTTACACCCTCTACATTGTAACTAGTTCATGGTGTTTGTTGACCTGGTATAAATATATAAACATTCTTCAACCTAAGCACCGGTCAGCCACCTGAAGTGAAAACACCTGCGTGGGTGTGCAGGGGCTGCAGTACATTTTCATCCACCTTGACTAAAGAAAGTACAGACATGCACTGCATTCACAAAAGAAAGAAAAATGTGTATCTTATGATACCTGTATCTTACTCAATAACGAGTAATGGGTCTCGCAAATTGTGAGCAAAGGTTGAAGTGGTTCCACCTGATTTTGTCCTGTAATTATGAGGTAGTAAGTCATATTTATGATACACAGAAGTCATAATTACAAGATAAGGTCGCCAAAATGTTTTTCTTATGTGAATGCAATGTTCTTCTGTGAGAAAGGTCTATTTCATTCTGTGCCATTAAATCTCCCAGCTGTATTTCATCGTAAGATCAGTCCAAAAAGGTGACATTGATCAAAAAAATTGAACTCAATTACATGACACGTGTAATGAACATGAACTCAGAGGGGTATTCAAATTGCCTGTTAATTTAAAGATGTGAAAGTTGTTGTTAAAGGAATTGTTTGACATTTTGGTAATTATACGCTTATTAGCTTTCTTCCCCAGAGTTAGATACCACTCTCATGTCTGTACGGTAAATATAAAAATCATTATGTCATAGAGATATGTAATTTGTTGGAAAAATAGCATGTTTAATTTGCAAGACCTGGAGAACAGGGATAAAAAACCAATCTGCAGAGACTACACTCCAGCTAGTAAGATAGCTGCTGAGGTAGTTTTAGCCAAAGATAATGTATCCACTCTCTCCCATTTCCTGTAATTGAAGGAGCAAAGAGCAATTCTGATGCTCCAATCTCTAAATATTTGGGTTTGTTTTACTGCATGAATAAGGCAGTTGATAGATCTTATCATAGTGGAGAAAAAACAAGCTAGTCGTGGTAATTAGCCTAGGTTAGCAGAGTAGCTGTAACTGCCGTTTCTGCAGTCTCTGACTAGTGACATTTCCTTAAATTACATATTCAAATGTATTTATATCAACATTAATTTACTCAACTAGCTGATGTAGAGAGAAGACACATTTTGTTTGTAGATACTGCTTTTCCCTTAAGCTTGTCCAAACATAGAGTGCAATGTCTAGTGTGCCTTCTCAGGTTTAATGCAAAGTCTGTGATAATAAATTATAACAAGCATAAAATAGTAAGTAAGGTTTTATAACTTATATGTGTTACACAGTTTGGCTTAAAGAGGCTTAACTTCAAAGCCTTTTTTAAAAAACGTTGCTGCTTTCTGCCTTTGCAAGGCTGCATACAGATACGAGAGTGGTATCAATCTTCTCATCTAACTCCCAAAATAATCTAAAAAATAATAAATTAAGATAAATTAAATAAAAATAATAAATAATCTATTTATTTTAGAGATGTAAAAGAAGTTGTTCACTTAGATAAAAAAAGCTCAGCCTCAAAATGAAGCATCAGAATTAGTTTATATTCTACATAGCTTCAGTGTTAGCTTATTCTCTTCCTCGTCTTCTATTTTGTGTCGTGAACAGCTAAGAGATTCCAGGGCAAACAAGATAGACTTGTGAAACATATTTAATCTGATAAAGTCCAACAGTTACAGACTGTCAGCAGATAATATAAGTGTAATTATCAGGAGAGCATCTTCAAGATCCCCCTGGCATATATCCAACAAGGCAATCAGAGAGAGTAAACCAAAATGCCCAAAGGTTTTGTAATAGACTTTTCACCACAGATATTTTGACTTGTCATAGCACAAAAAGCACAGGTGTGGCTAATGCTACTAGCAATCGCTATATTAAATTTAACTGTCAGTGTAACTGAGCCATTTAACAGGACATCAGAAAACCTAAATAGAAGGAAGGCAGCCGTGGAGTTTGTAAGAAGTGAAGAGTCGATTGCAGTTGGTTTTTGATTCTCTAAACTGTCTTTATGAACTAACGCCAGAAGCCAACATTGCAAATTGATTTCTGTGTTGAATTGTTTGTCAACATTTCTTATTCTACCAGTTTTTTTAGCTAAGTTTTTTTTTTTCTTTTTTTTTTTTTCAAAGTTAAACCTGCAATAATTGATATATTTTTCGTCTTCTCGGGCGCAGCGGAAACTGACATATCATCACTGTTAAAGTTGATATCACAAACCACTGCTTACACATCCAGCAGGTACAAAGCAACATTATCATTCATTTGGAGTTGTGTTTCTGGCCATGTGGCGAATATAAGTGCAATATTAGCTCTCTTTTAGCTCTGTTTTTGGTCTCTACCAACTCACAGGGGAAA